AAGGACCTAACATGGTCCACACACACCCGCACAGTCGTGAAGAGAGCATGGCAGCTTCTCTTCCCCCTCAGCAGGCTGAAAAGATTTGGCATGGGCCCTTGGATCCTCAAAAGGTTATACAGCTGCACCATCAAGAGCATCTTGACTGCCTGCATCACCGCTTGGTATGGCAAATGCACTGCCCTTGACCCCAAAGTGCTACAGAGGGTGGTGCATCCAGGACCTCTATATCAGGCGGTGTCAGAGGAAGGCCCGAAAAATTGCCAAAGACTCCAGCCAGCCAAGCTATAGACTGTTCACTCTGCTACCATCCGGCAAACGGCACCGGAGCATCGGCTCTCGGACCAACAGGCTCCGAGGAAGCTTCTACCCGCAAGCCATAAGACTGCTAAATAGCCAGACTGCTAAATAGTAAATTAAGGGTACCCAAACTACCTGCACTGACTCTGTCTTGCACTGACCCTACGCACACTCACTAGACTATATATACAAACCATATACACACGCACTCACACACACTACATTGACACTCCCACACAAAACATTTTAATTTTTTTGTCATTTAGCAGACGCTCTTATCCAGAGCGACTTACAGTTAGTGAGTGCATACCTTTTTCATACTGGCGCCCCATGGGAATCGAACCGACAACCCTGGCGTTGCAAGCACCATGCTCTACCAATTGAGCTACAGGAGGCCAAAACCAACACACATTCACATTCTGTACACTCCATACACACACACATTACACACACACGCAGACCGACACAACACAAACATACACATTACACACACACACACACACACACACACACTCATCATTTGCTGCTGCTCTGTTCTTTATTTTACTCTTATTATTATCTATCCTGATGCCTAGTCACTTTACCCTGCCTTCATGTACATACAGTGTCAACCTCAAATACCTCGTACCTCTGCACATTGATCTGGTACTGGTACTCCCTGTATATAGCTCCATTCTTGTATATTTTATTTTTTATTTTCCATCATATTCCTCTTGTGTTACTATTTTATTTTGTATTTTTTAACTCTGCATTGTTGGGAAGGGCTCTTAAGCAAGTATTTCACGGTAAATTCTACACCAGTTGTATTTGGCGCATGTGACAAATAACATTTTATTTTATTTTATTTAGCTTTTATTTTGGTGATTGTTAGTTCTGAAAGATTATAAAACAATATATAGATCCATGATATTTTCTACATCCTTTATATCTGGTTTTAGTAATTTAAGTTTACACTGAAAGCGTTTTTCCATCCCGAAAATGTATAATACAAATAAATAAATAATCGAATGTATATATACTATTTTTACACCGCCTACACACATAGGCGGCTCGCCCAAAGACATCAATGGCAGAAAAATCCCTGCTTTACCCTGATTGACTTATAGTGCAAAAGTGGTAAGATAATGAAGATATGTCCATATTAATGCTTTAGGGATAGCGGGCTGGTCTGCTATTCTCGCAAGCCATAACCAACACTTGAGCTAGCTAGCTGGTTCGGTTTTGAATGGCTGTTTTGAGAGACTAGTGGTCTGCTAGTGTTTCCTATTAACTTATGTTACACAGGTACGAATTACTAAGATTTTACACACCAGTGACACATTTGTTGTTGTTTTGGCTCTATACTCCAGCACTTTGGATTTGAAATGATACAATGGGGTTAAACTGCAGACTGACTGTCAGCTTTAATTTGAGGGTATTTTCATCAGCACTTTTTGTACATAGTCCCCCATTTTAGGCGACCAAAAGTATTGGGACAAATTCACTTATGTGTATTCAAGTAATCCAAAGTTTTGTATTTGGTCCCATATTCCTAGCATGCAATGATTAGATCAATCTCGTGACAGCATTTGCTGTTTGTTTTGGTTGTGTTTCAGATTATTTTGTGCCCAATAGAACTGAATGGTAAATAATGTATTATGTCATTTTGGAGTCACTTTTATTGTAAATAAGAATAGAATATGTTTCTAAACACTTCTACATTAATGTAGATGCTACCATGATTACGGATAGTCTTGAATGAATCGTGAGTAATGATGCGTGAGAAAGTTACAGACGCACAAATATCATACCCCCAAGACATGCTAACCTCTCACCATTAGCATTTTTGGTTAGCATTTTTTGGGGGGGGTATGATGTTTATGCCTCTGTAACGTTCTCATTCATCATTATTCTACCAGAAGATGGTTGTCATTATATTAGCATCATCGCTAACGGCTACACATTCCAGTGCCGTTGCCTCTTCAGAAGGTTGAAGGAAAATATGAATCACTGATGCATTTTGTTCATGTCTTTTTGTATGATAGCGAAGAGTGGGGTAAATTGAGCAATTTTTTTTATATTCAGCATCACTCCGGCAAGGGAAATATAGTATTCTTTCTAATAAAGATATGTACATATATTTAAGGATGTTCTGTATCCCCTGGAAATAATCAGAATTCATGTAAACATTACAGTTTTGAAAACTTGTCCAAAAAAGTGGTCTCTTGGCACAACTTATAGGGTAACCGCCTACAAATGTTTGTACTGAATGAAATATTACCACTACCTTTTTAAAACCATGTATATATTTATTTCCCAAACACAATTCAATACAATCACAATCACTTTTTTGTCTTGTCTTTTAACACGGCCTTAACACCTAACAAACACTTTGTGCTTTTTTAAACACTTTTAACATAGGCCAGGCCCTGTTGTTACCTCATATCCCAGAAATAATGCCTTGCATTATGCCTGGGAAGAAAACACTTCAATTTTCTCAATTTTCCATTGGCTCAAATTTGCTCAACTTTCCATTGGCTCAACTTACCCCATGACCATTGGCTCAAACATTTTGACCATATTAGCCCACACAGCTATAAGGATGCTCTTTCATGCTAGGTTTAGGAACTCACATTGAAGCTTATAGAGACCCCGACTGATACATAGAACAATCTTAAAAGTATCTACTTTGGTTTAGATACAAGCGTCATTAAACCTCTAACACAATAAATTCATTTGACTTGGTGAAAATCCGTTTTTTGGACCTAACTTGCTTAACACTTTTTCCATGTGGTTTCTTTCTTCACAGACTCCATGAAATGATGATCTCTTCCTAAATATTTGGTCAAATTATTAATTTTGTGTATCGTTTTCTAGAAACAAGTGTGGCTCAACTTACCTCTTTGGCTCAACTCACCTCACTCTCCCCTAATCTTGGGCAAATTAATGACTTTTCTAATAAGTTCAATACATTTAATGATTTCCTACTAAGTTCAATACATTTTAAAATATTGTTGAATTCCGTTTTAATGTCTGGATTCTATGATTCCGTCTTTAATTCCTTTCTCATCTCTCTCACTCAGTAGCATTATCAACCACACAGTGCTACTGAGTGTGGCTCTACCCTCTATCATAGACAGTTCCAATCATGCATTGAAATACTCCCAGCCTTGTCAAATCGGACAAACACACTAAATGTGTTTGTTTGTTCGCAAAGACAGTCTCAGGCTCTCTATTGTAGTAATATTGTAGTAATGAGTACAAGTGTGTTTAAGCTATGGAGTGATTGTGTGTGTTTGTGTGCATATCTGTTCCTGTGGCACACCGCTGCTGAGAGCTGAGTGGATTGGGCTTGGGGGCTGTGGGAGTGTATGGTCAGGGTCAGCGTGTGGAGTAAGGGTCAAAAGACTATCAACGCTGTCGGGGGGAGCTCGTCAAGCTCAGATCAGTCCCTGGAGCTGACACTGACCCACCATCTATCCGTACACCCCTCATCCTGTAGGGTGGAAGCACCCTGCCTCATGTACAAAAGGTTACCAAAGGTTGAGAGCGTCAACTAACATAAGGGAGGGCAGGGGCATTACCCAGTTTACAGTCAACTCTGATAACTGATAAATGCAATGGCTTGGGACAGTTGTGACAGTTTGCACTAAACCGGAACATGCAGTTAGTTATCAGAGGCAATTAAAAATGATGTAGGAACTATATTGCACTTTTTAAACAGTTTAGCTAAAGTGCACTTATCAGGAGTCAACTGTAGTGCGGGATGACACCATTTAATTTTCCATTTGGAATTTGTGAGTTCATTTTCAGCTAAAGTTATTGGATTTGTTGGATGTCAGACGTATAAACAAATTGTGTGACTCCATTCTTGCTTATAAGACGCTTATAAGATAAGCTCATGCTATGCCATGCACACAGCGTAAAGAGAGCCAGCCAAGGTCAACATTGATAACTATGGCCCACGGTAGTCGGCTGAAAATGGAAGGGTGTGACATATGTCTGGTCTAATTAGCTTTGTTTGCACCCCACTAAGTCCCCTGTCGTTACGATGCTAAGAGCCTGCTCTCTGAACTCTCCCTGCAGTAGCAGCAAAGCTGCAGATTAGTGCCGAGCCTGTCTAGCTGTGGGAAGTTGAGCTTTTTACTCTCCGCCTGATGGATTTGTGTGACCGGTCATTTTAGCGTCCTATGTAACCGAAGCTAACATGCTTTCTACAGTATTACTATTATTGTATTAGTCTGTTTCTTCAGCTGCAAGTCTTAAGAAAGTTACAGTGTATGACTAGCAAGCAAAGCCAGGATAGCAGTTTACCTGTCGCGTTCGATACGCGCCACAGGTCACACAGAGTGAGTAATCAATGTGGTTTGTCATGTGGTCTTTGGAGACACATCAATCTTGGTTGTTGCATCTGTTTGTTTGTTTAGTCTATCTCTCGCTCTCTTACTGACTAATATCCACCTGTGGTACCTGTTGAACGCTGTTCGATAATCTCAACGTGAGTGTGAGTAATCGATGTGTTGTGGTGTGTCATGTGCTTTGGAGACCGAGCAATCTCGGTTGTTGCGTCTGTTGTTTGTTTAGTCTCGTTCACAGTCTCTTATTGACTAATATACGTCTGCTGTTCTAGATGCACCTGGCATGTCTGTTGTGTCTGCTCTGCGTGGCTGTTTGATCCTGACTAAATGTCTCGTCTGCTGTTTTTCTGTTTTGTCTGCAGGTTGAGTAGTGATCGGCGGGATGAGCAGACTCTGAGGAAAAAGGAGACAGAGGAGTGAGTGTTCACCGTGGAAGAGCCCCTCATCACTCTCCCCCCTGACAGCTGCACCAATGTTCTCTCCCGACCAGGAAAACATCTCCACCACCCCAGCCTCCACCAAAGTGCCAGCCAAATACGGAGAGCTCATTGTTCTGGGGTAAGAGGGGGGTTAATTGCATTTTGTTGCTTACAATCCTGTCTCGGAGCTCTACAGACAATTCTTTCAACCTCATGGCTTGGTTTTTTCTCTGACATGCACTGTCAACTGTGGGACCTTATATAGACAGGTGTGTGCCTTTCCAAATCATGTCCAATCAATTGAATTTACCACAGGTGGACTCCAATCAAGTTGTAGAAACATCTCAAGATGCACATGAGCTCAATTTCGAGTCTAATAGCAAAGGGTCTGAATACCTATGTAAATAAGGTATTTCTGTTTTCTTTTTTTTTTTAATACATTTTCAAAATAAATTAAAAACCTGTTTTCACTTTGTCATTATGGGGTATTGTGTGTAGATTGATGAGAAAAAAAATATATTTAATTAATTTTAGAATAAGGCTGTAACGTAACACAATGTGGTAACGTAACACAATGTGGAAAAGGGGAAGGGGTCTGAATACTTTCCGAATGCACTAATATATATATATATATATATATAGTACCAGTCAAAAGTCTGGACAGATCTACTCATTCAAGTTTTTTTTTTACATTGTAGTATAATAGTGAAGACATCAAAACTATGAAATAACACATATGGAATCATGTAGTAACCAAAAAAGTGTTAAACAAATCAAAATATATTTCAAATAGCCATGCTTTACCTTGATGACAGCTTTGCACACTCTTAGCATTATCTCAGCTTCATGAGGTAGTCACCTGTAATGCATTTCAATTAACAGGTGTGCCTTATTAGAAGTACATTTGTGGAATTTCTTTCCTTCTTAATGCATTTGAGCCAATCAGTTGTGTTGTGACAAGGTAGGGTGGTATACAGAAGATAGCTCTATCTGGTAAAATACCAAGTCCATATTATGGCAAGAACAGCTCAAATAAGCAAAGAGAAACGACAGTCCATCATTATTTTAAGACATGAAGATCAGTCAATCTGGAAAATGTCAAGAACTTTGAAAGTTTCTTCAAGTGCAGTCGCAAAAACCATCAAGCGTTATGATGAAAGTGGCTCTCATGAGGACCGCCACAGGAAAGGAAGACCCAGAGTTACCTCTGCTGCAGAAGATAAGTTCATTAGAGTTACCAGCGTCAGAAATTGCAGCCCAAATAAATGCTTCACAGAGTTCAAGTAACAGACACATCTCAACATCAATAGTTCAAAGGAGACTGCATGAATCAGGCCTTCATGGTCGAATTGCTGCAAAGAAACCACTACTAAAGGACACCAATAAGAAGAAGAGACTTGCTTGGGCCAGGAAACACGAGCAAAGGACATTAGACCAGTGAAAATCTGTCCTTTGGTCTGATGAGTCCAAATGTTAGATTTTTGGTTCCATCCGCCGTGTCTTTGTGAGACGCAGAGTAGGTGAACGGATGATCTCCGCATTTGTGGTTCTCACCGTGAAGCATGGAGGAGGTGTGATGATGTGGGGGTGCTTTGCTGGTGACACTGTCTGTGATTTATTTAGAATTCAAGGCACCCTTAACCAGCATGGCTACCACAGCATTCTGCAGCGATACGCCATCCCATCTGGTTTGCGCTTAGTGGGACGATCATTTGTTTTTCAACAGGACAATTACCCAACACACCTCCAGGCTGTGTAAGGGCTATTTAACCAAGAGGGAGAGTGATGGAATGCTGCATCAGATGACCTGGCCTCCTGGTTGAGAGAATGCCAAGAGTGTGCAAAGCTGTCATCAAGGCAAAGGGTGGCTACTTTGAAGAATCTCAAATGTAAAATATATTTTGATTTGTTTAACACTTTTTTGGTTACTACATGATTCCGTATGTGTTATTTTATAGTTTTGATGTCTTCACTATTATTCTACAATGTAGAAAATAGTACAAATAAATAAAAACCCTAGAATGAGTAGGTGTGTCCAAACTTTTGACTGGTATTGTCTGGATATATAGACAGTATGGGCAGTATATTGAATAGAAAAGGTCTGTAACAGTAGTAGTTATATGGATGAGCCATGACTAGAATACAGTATATACCTGTGGGGAGACAAGTACATTTTGATACACTCGCCGAATTTTGCAGGTTTTCCATACTTACACAGACCATGTAGAGGTCTGTAATTGTTGATCATAGGTACACGTCCAACTGTGAGAGACGGAAATCTAAAACACAAAATCCAGAAACTCACATTGTATGATTTTTAAGTAATTAATTGCCATTTTATTGCAGACATAATATGTGAACATCAGAAAGCAGAGAACTTAATATTTGGTACAGAAACCTGTTTGCAATTACAGAGATCATACATTTCCTGTAGGTCTGACCAGGTTTGCACACATACAGAGCCCATCCATAATTTCCAATTAGGTTCTTGCCTGTAAGTCTTAAGAAAGTTACAGTGTATGACTAGCAAGCAAAGCCAGGATAGCAGTTTACCTGTCGCGTTCGATACGCGCCACAGGTCACACAGAGGGAGTATCATGTGGTTGTCATGTGGTCTTTGGAGACACATCATCTTGGTTGTTGCATCTGTTGTTGTTTAGTCTATCTCTCGCTCTCTTACTGACTAATATCCACCTGTGGTACCTGTTGAACGCTGTTCGATAATCTCAACGTGAGTGTGAGTAATCGATGTGTTTGTGGTGTGTCATGTGCTTTGGAGACCGAGCAATCTCAGTTGTTGCGTCTGTTGTTTTGTTTAGTCTCGTTCACAGTCTCTTATTGACTAATATACGTCTGCTGTTCTAGACGCACCTGGCATGTCTGTTGTGTCTGCTCTGCGTGGCTGTTTGATCCTGACTAAATGTCTCGTCTGCTGTTTTCTGTTTTCTGCAGGTTGAGTAGTGATCGGCGGATGAGCAGACTCTGAGGAAAAAGGAGACAGAGGAGTGAGTGTTCACCGTGGAAGAGCCCTCATCACTCTCCCCCTGACAGCTGCACCAATGTTCTCTCCCGACCAGGAAAACATCTCCACCACCCCAGCCTCTACCAAAGTGCCAGCCAAATACGGAGAGCTCATTGTTCTGGGGTAAGAGGGGGTTAATTGCATTTTGTTGCTTACAATCCTGTCTCGGAGCTCTACAGACAACTCCTTCAACCTCATGGCTTGGTTTTTTCTCTGACATCCACTGTCAACTGTGGATGTCATATAGACAGGTGTGTGCCTTTCCAAATCATGTCCAATCAATTGAATTTACCACAGGTGGACTCCAATCAAGTTGTAGAAACATCTCAAGATGCACATGAGCTCAATTTCGAGTCTAATAGCAAAGGGTCTGAATACCTATGTAAATAAGGTATTTCTGTTTTCTTTAAAAAAAATACATTTTCAAAATAAATTAAAAACCTGTTTTCACTTTGTCATTATGGGGTATTGTGTGTAGATTGATGAGAAAAAAAATATATTTAATTAATTTTAGAATAAGGCTGTGTAACGTAACACAATGTGGTACGTAAACACAATGTGGAAAAGGGGAAGGGGTCTGAAAACTTTCCGAATGCACTAATATATATATATATATATAGTACCAGTCAAAAGTCTGGACACATCTACTCATTCAAGTTTATTATTTACATTGTAGTATAATAGTGAAGACATCAAAACTATGAAATAACACATATGGAATCATGTAGTAACCAAAAAAGTGTTAAACAAATCAAAATATATTTTATATTTGAGATTCTTCAAATAGCCATGCTTTACCTTGATGACAGCTTTGCACACTCTTAGCATTCTCTCAGCTTCACGAGGTAGTCACCTGTAATGCATTTCAATTAACAGGTGTGCCTTATTAGAAGTACATTTGTGGAATTAATTTCCTTCTTAATGCATTTGAGCCAATCAGTTGTGTTGTGACAAGGTAGGGTGGTATACAGAAGATAGCTCTATCTGGTAAAATACCAAGTCCCATATTATGGCAAGAACAGCTCAAATAAGCAAAGAGAAACGACAGTCCATCATTTTTTAAGACATGAAGATCAGTCCAATCTGGAAAATGTCAAGAACTTTGAAAGTTTCTTCAAGTGCAGTCGCAAAAAACCATCAAGCGTTATGATGAAAGTGGCTCTCATGAGGACCGCCACAGGAAAGGAAGACCCAGAGTTACCTCTGCTGCAGAAGATAAGTTCATTAGAGTTACCAGCGTCAGAATTGCAGCCCAAATAAATGCTTCACAGAGTTCAAGTAACAGACACATCTCAACATCAATTGTTCAGAGGAGACTGCATGAATCAGGCTTCATGTCGAATTGCTGCAAAGAGAAACCACTACTAAAGGACACCAATAGAAGAAGAGACTTGCTTGGGCCAGGAAACACGAGCAAAGGACATTAGACCGTGAAAATCTGTCCTTTGGTCTGATGAGTCCAAATGTTAGATTTCTGGTTCCATCCTCCGTCTTTGTGAGACGCAGAGTAGGTGAACGGATGATCTCCGCATTTGTGGTTCTCACCGTGAAGCATGGAGGAGGTGTGATGATGTGGGGGTGCTTTGCTGGTGACACTGTCTGTGATTTATTTAGAATTCAAGGCACCCTTAACCAGCATGGCTACCACAGCATTCTGCAGCGATATGCCATCCCATCTGGTTTGCGCTTAGTGGACTATCATTTGTTTTTCAACAGGACAATTACCCACACACCTCCAGGCTGTGTAAGGGCTATTTAACCAAGAGGGAGAGTGATGGAGTGCTGCATCAGATGACCTGGCCTCCTGGTTGAGAGAATGCCAAGAGTGTGCAAAGCTGTCATCAAGGCAAAGGGTGGCTACTTTGAAGAATCTCAAATGTAAAATATATTTTGATTTGTTAACACTTTTTGGCTACTACATGATTCCGTATGTGTTATTTTATAGTTTTGATGTCTTCACTATTATTCTACAATGTAGTAGTTATATGAGGATAGCGCCATGACTAGAATAACAGATAAGTATACATATAAAGTTGGTAAAACAGTATGTCTTTTTGGTGTTTTATTAGGATCCCCATTAGTCGTTGCGAAGGCAGCAGGTACTCTTCCTGGGGTCCACACAAAACATGAAACATGACATAATACAGAATATGAATAGACAAGAACAGCTCAAGGACAGAACTACATCAATTTAAAACATCACACAGCCTACAATTCAGGACATACACACAAAATATCTAGGTCAAATAGGGGAGAGGCATTGTGCCGTGATGTGTTGCTTTATCTGTTTTTTTTAAACCAGTTTTGCTGTTCATTTGAGTAATCTGAGATGGAAGGGCAGTCATGGCTATACAGTTGAAGTCGGAAGTTTACATACACCTTAGCCAAATACATTTAAACTCAGTTTTTCACAATTCCTGACATTTAATCCTAGTAAAAATTCCCTGTTTTAGGTCAGTTAGGATCAACACTTTATTTTAAGATTGTGAAATGTCAGAATAATAGTAGAGAGAATGATATATTTCAGCTTTTATTTCTTTCATCACATTCCCAGTGGGTCAGAAGTTTACATACACTCAATTAGTATTTGGTAGCATTGCCTTTAAATTGTTTAACTTCGGTCAAACGTTTCGGGTAGCCTTCCACAAGCTTCCCACAATAAGTTGGGTGAATTTTGGCCCATTCCTCCTGACAGAGCTGGAGTAACTGAGTCAGGTTTGTAAGCTCGCACACGCTTTTTCAGTTCTGCCCACACATTTTCTATAGGATTGAGGTCAGGGCTTTGTGATGGCCACTCCAATACCTTGACTTTGTTGTCCTTAAGCCATTTTGCCACAACCTTGGAAGTATGCTTGGGGTCATTGTCCATTTGGAAGACCCATTTGCAACCAAGCTTTAACTTGTCTTGTGTCTTGAGATGTTGCTTCAATATATCCACATCATTTTCCTTCCTCATGATGCCATCTATTTTGTGAAGTGCACCAGTCCCTCCTGCAGCAAAGCACCCCCACAGCATGATGCTGCCACCCCCGTGCTTCACGGTTGGGATGGTGTTCTTCGGCTTGCAAGCCTACCCCTTTTTCCTCCAAACATAACGATGGTCATTATGGCCAAACAGTTCAATTTTTGTTTAATCAGACCAGAGGACATTTCTCCAAAAAGTAAGATCTTTGTCCCCATGTGCAGTTGCAAACCGTAGTCTGGCTTTTTTATGGCGGTTTTGGAGCAGTGGCTTCTTCCTTGCTGAGCGGCCTTTGAGGTTACATCGATATAGGACTAGTTTTACTGTGGATATAGATACTTTTGTACCTGTTTCCTCCAGCATCTTCACAAGGTCCTTTGCTGTTGTTCTGGGATTGATTTGTACATTTCGCACCAAAGTACGTTCATCTCAAGGAGACAGAACGCGTCTCCTTCCTGAGCGGTATGACGGCTGCGTGGTCCCATGGAGTTTATACTTGCGTATTATTGTTTGTACTGATGAACGTGGTACCTTCGGGCGTTTGGAAATTGCTCCCAAGGATGAACCAGACTTGTGGAGGTCTACAATGTTTTTTCTGAGGTCTTGGCTGATTTATTTTGATTTTCCCATGATGTCAAGCAGAGGCACTGAGTTTGAAGGTAGGCCTTGAAATACATCCACAGGGACACCTCCAATTGACTCAAATTATGTCAATTAGCCTATCAGAAGCTTCTAAAGCCATGACATCATTTTCTGGAATTTTCCAAGCTGTTTAAAGGCACAGTCAACTCAGTGTATGTAAACTTCTGACCCACTGGAATTGTGATACAGTAAATTATAAGTGAAACAATCTGTCTGTAAACAATTGTTGGAAAAATTACTTGTGTCATGCACAAAGTAGATGTCCTAACCGACTTGCCAAAACTATAGTTTGTTAATAAGAAATTTGTGGAGTGGTTGAAAAATGAGTTTTAATGACTCCAACCTAAGTGTATGTAAACTTCAGACTTCAACTGTATATAGTACTGTACGTTTTCTTGAATTTGTTCTGGATTTGGGGATTATGAAAAGACCCCTGGTGACATGTCTGGTGGGGTAAGGGTGTGTGTCAGAGCTGTGTGTAAGTTGACTATTCAAACCATTTGGAATTTGGAAACAAGTTTTTTATGAAAATAAGAAGTGATGCAGTCAGTCTCTCCTCTACTTTTAGTTACGAGAAACTGGCATGCATAGTATTGATATTAGCCTTCTGATTATAGTGAAGAGCAAGACGTGCTGCTCTATGGGCCAGCTGTAGTTTTTCTAGGTCCTTCTTTGCAGCACTTGACCATTAGACTGGGCAATAACCAAGATCATTTAAAACTAGACCCTGCAGGAGTGTGGTGTCAAAAAAGCAGAACATGTCTTTATCACGGACAGACCATGTAAACATTATTAAAGTAACCAGTGTTCAATGACTCTATGTACATAGGGCAAAGCAGTCTCAAAGGTGCAGGGTAGAGTACCGGGTGGTAGCTAGCTAGTAACATTGACTAAGGTTCAGGGCAGGGTACTGGGGGAGGTTGGCTAGTTTAACATTCTGATGGCTTGGCGATAGAAGCTTTTTAACGGTGTCTCTGTCCCAGCTTTGATGCACCTGTACTGTTTCCTCCTTCTAGATGGTAGCGTGGTGAACAGGCCGTGGCTTGGGTGGCTGAGGTCCTTGATGATCGCCTTGGCCTTCTTGTGACATCGGGTGCTGTAGACATCCTGGAGGGCAGGCAGTGTGTCCCCGATGCGTTGGTTCGACCACACCACCCTCTGGATAGCCCTGCGGTTGTGGACAGTGCAATTGCCGTACCAGGCGGTGATACAGCCTACGAGAATGCTCTCAATGGTGCATCTGTAGAAGTTTGTGAGGGTCCTAGGGGCCAAGCCCAATATCTTCAGCCTCCTGAGGTTGAAGAGGCGCTGTAGCGCCTTTTTCGCCACACTGTCTGTGTGAAGGGACCATTTCAGGTCATCAGTGATGTGCATAACGAGGAACTAAAAGCTTTTGCCCTTCTCGCCTACGGCCCCGTCGATGTGGATGGGGGCATGCTCTCTCTGCTGTCTCCTGTAGTCAACTATCAACTCCTTTGTTTTGTTGACATTGAGGGAGAGGTTATTCTCCTGCCACCACTCCGCCAGGGCTTTCACCTTCTTCCTGTAAGCTGTCTCGTCATTGTTGGTAATCAGGCCTACCACTGTTGTTTCGTCAGCAAACTTGATGATTGAGTTGGAGACTTGCGTAGCCACGCAGTCATGGATGAACAGGAAGTACAGGAGAGGGCTGAGCACACACCCCTGTGGGGCCCCAGTGTTGAGGATCAGCGTGTCAAGAGGTGTTGTTCCTTACCTTCACCACTTGGGTCTTTCTGGGTAAGTCTCTAAGAGATTTCCACACCTGGATTGTGCAACAATTGCCCATTATTCTTTTCAAAATTCTTCAAGCTCTGTCAAATTGGTTGTTGATCATTGCTAGACAACCATTTTCAGGTCTTTCCATAGATTTCCAAGCAGATTTAAGTCAAAACTGTAACTCGGCCACTCAGGAACATTCACTGTCTTCTTGGTAAGCAACTCCAGTGTAGATTTGGCCTTATGTTTTAGGTTATTGTCCTGCTGAAAGGTGAATTCATCTCCCAGTATCTGGTGGAAAGCAGGCTGAACCAGGAACCTGTGCTTAGCTCAATTCCGCTTCTTTTTTATCCTGAAAAACTCCCCAGTCCTTAACGATTACAAGCATACGCATAACATGATGCAGTCACCACTATGCTTGAAAATATGGAGAGTGGTACTCAGCAATGTGTTGTATTGGATTTGCCCCAAACATAACACTTTGTATTCAGGACAAAAAGTGAATTGCTTTGCCACATTTTTTGCAGTGCCTTGTTAGTTGTTAGTTACTTAGTGCCTTGTTGCAAACAGGATGCATGTTTTGGAGTATTTGTATTCTGTACAGGCTTTGTTCTTTTCACTCTGTCAATTAGTTTAGTATGTGGAGTAACTACAATGTTGTTGATCCAGCCTCAGTTTTCTCCTATCACATCAATTAAACGCTGTAAACGTTTTAAAGTCAGCATTGGCCTCATGGTGAAATCCCTGAGCGGTTTCCTTCCTCTCCGGCAACTGAGTTAGGAAGGACGCCTTTATCTTTGTAGTGGCTGGGTGTATTGATACATCATGCTCAAAGGGATATTCAATGTCTGCTTTTTCCCCCCCATATCCCAATAGGTGCCCTTCTTTGCGAGGCATTGGAAAACCTCCCTGGTCTTTGTGGTTGAATATGTGTTTGAAATTCACTGCTCGACTGAGGGACCTTACAGATAATTGTACGTGTGGAGTACAGAGATGAGGTAGTCATTCAAAAATCATGTTAAACACTATTATTGCACACAGAGTGAGTCCATGCAACTAATTATGTGACTTGTGAACCAATTTTATACTTCTGAATTTATTTAGGCTTGCCATAAAAAAAGGGGTTGCATGGTTATTGACACAAGACATTTCAGCTTTTCATTTTTTATTAATTTGTAAAAAGTTAAAAAAACATAATTCCACTTTGACATTATGGGGTATTGTGTGTAGACCAGTGATAAAAAATTAAGGCTGTAACACAACAAAATGTGGATAAAGCCAAGGGATATGAGTACTTTCTGAAGGCACTGTACATGTTAAATTATGTATTGGCAACTGTGGTATGCTACAACTTTGCTACGTGGAGGTTCTTTGAAATAAATGCCAGTCAGCCCTTATGCTCTAAATGTGAACCACATTGTTCCAACTTCCAACAGACACAATGGTACATGTTCATTTACGACATTTGAACTGGGCAGTTTTGTTTCTTTTAAAAAGGGGGAGTAGGGTGGTTCAATCTAAATCCAGTTAAATGCACACTGCAACTCAGCCACAGTAAGGGTAAACAAAGAACGCTGCTGGCTTCCTGAGTGTAGGACGTTTTTTTCGGACAAAGGAGAATGTAGCCTATGTGGTGCAGAGAGGAGGATGCGAGCTAAATTGTTGGTGGTTGTTATGGCTTCGAAAATATTCTGTCACGTTCACATTGTATTTAGCAGTAGAATAAACTGTCTGAAAAGAAAACAACGTTCAACTAACAATTAGGTGGTCATAGACTATTTTCATTTTGCAGTTCCAAATAGTTAACAAATGCATTGGTTGTCTCAGTTAGCCCTGGATGTAATGCTACCAATGAAGACATGAAATTAGTTAATACACTCTTAATACATCAGCTTGTCCAGGAAAAGTAGGTGGCTGCTTACTTTCGATGAAGCAACAGGAAAGCCCTCATTTCCCAATTAAATCTTTGCACTCGCTCAACCGTACTGTCTGAAAGTTGAATGTTTACATGGCAGATGCTGGCTTGGGTAAGCGACCAAAAGATAACCTCATAGCTTAGCTCCTCTGATTGGATGAAAGAGGATTGGGCCTCGTTTTAATGGAGATCAGAATTCAACAAACCCAAAGCTGGCGTCGAGTGTGACCCTATTCCACCAAGGAATTACAGTAAAGTAGACAGTCGTCCCCTCTCAATGGTCACTTTATTTTAGAAGTGGATCAAATTACTTAATTACATTTACATTTTAGTCATTTAGCAGATGCTTTTATCCAGAGTGACATACAGGCACAATTAGGGTTAAGTGCCTTGCTCAAGGGCACATCAACAGTTCTCATTCATTTCCCTTTTAAATGGGTTTACAGTGGTTAAACTATTTGTTTTAGTTGTGTTCAGAGTCTTAGTTAGCATAGTCTTATTTTGCATAGTCTTATTTTCACATATTAAAACACAAATCTAAATAAAAATGTACACAACGTGGCCAAAAGTATATGGACACCTGCTCGTCGAACATCTCATTCCAAAATCATGTGCATTAATATGGAGTTGGTCCCCCCTTTGCTGCAATAACAGCATCCACTCTTCTGGGAAGGCTTTCCACTAGATGTTGGAACATTGCTGCGGGGACATGCTTCAATTCAGCCACAAGAGCATTAGTGAGGTCGGGCACTGATGTTGGGCGATTAGGCCTGGCTCGCAGTCAGCGTTCCAATTCAATGGGGTTGAGTTCAGGGCTCTGTGGAGGTCAGTCAAGTTCTTTCACACCGATCTCGAGAAACCATTTCTGTATGGACCTTGATTTGTGCACGGGGGCATTGTCATGCTGAAACAGGAAAGGGCCTTCCCCAAACTGTTGCCACAAAGTTGGAAGCACAGAATCGTCTAGAATGTCATTGTATGCTGTAGCGTTAAGATTTCCCTTAACTGGAACTAAGGGGCCTAGCCCGAACCATGAAAAGCAGCCCCAGACCATTATTACTCCTCCACCAAACTTTACAGTTAGCATATGCATTTGGGCAGGTAGCGTTATCCTGGCATCCGCCAAACCCAGATTCATCCGTCGGACTGTAAGATGGTGAAGCGTGATTCATCACTCCATTGAACACGTTTCCACTGCTCCAGAGTCCAATGGCGGCAAGCTTTATACCACGCTAGCCGACGCTTGGCATTGCGCATGGTGATCTTAGGCTTGTTTGCGGCTGCTCGGCCATGGAAACCCATTTCATGAAGCTCCCGACTAACAGTTATTGTGCTGACGTTGCTTCAAGAGGTAGTTTGGAACTCGGTAGTGAGTGTTGCAACCGAGGACGGACGATTTTTACACGCTGCGTGCTTCAGCATTCAGCGGTTATTTTCTGTGCGCTTGTGTGGCCTACCACTTTGCGGCTGAGCCGTTGTTGCTCCTAGACATTTCCACTTCCCAATAACAGCACTTACAGTTGACCGGGGCTGCTCTAACAGGGGAGAAATTTGACGAACTGACTTGTTGGAAAGGTGGCATCCTATGACGGTGCCACATTGAAAGTAACTGAGCTCATCAGTACGGGCCATTCTACTGTCAATGTTTGTCTATGGAGATTGCATGGCTGTGTGCTCGATTTTATACAACTGTCAACGACGGGTGTGGTTGAAATAGCCGAATCCACTAATTTGAAGGGGTGTCCACATACTTATATATCCTATATGATGAAACAAACAATCAACAGCTTATTTTGTACTGTAACTTATTTTGTACTGTAACTAGGATCCCACTGCCAGGATGTCTTGATTCAAATGGTCAATTTCTATGGGGTGTGTTCTTGTCTACGCAGGTACAATGGCTCCCTACCCAACGGAGACAAGGGGAGGCGGAAAAGCCGCTTTGCACTGTGCCGGAGACCCAAGGCCAGCGGGGTGAAACCCAGCACAGTGCACGTGGCGTGCACACCACAGGCAGCCAAGGTAGGAGCTAGGAAACAGTCATACTGTATGCTGGAATTGAAGACTTCTTTCTGTAATCGACTTCTGTAAAAGTCTCTTATATAACATAATGTATGCTTGATAAAAACAAGACGATAGCGACGGCATTGTCTCTTGTTGCCCTAATACACAATTTTCTCTATATCAGATGCATTATATCTGTCTTGTCTCCCGAGTGGCGCAGTGGTGTAAGGCACAGTGCTAGTTGGGAGGGGGAGGAGGAGGAGTACCACCTGAAGTAAATAGTTAATTGGTAATGACATCATCCTGCTACTCCTAACATCAAACTTTTCCCTCACCACCTGCAGGCCATCAGCAACAAGGACCAGCACAGTATCTCCTACACTCTGTCCCGGGCCCAGACGGTGGTGGTGGAGTACACTCATGACAGCAATACAGACATGTTCCAGGTGAGTGTGTCCTCAGCGTGTCCTCACTGCTCAAGTCAAGCCTGGTCCCAGATCTGTTGTGCTGTCTTGCCAACTCATATGCTCGACTGTGTGATCAGGCTCTCCGTAGCCGATGTGAGTAAGACCTTTAAACGGATTACCAGGACGCATACTCAGAGCATGCGCTGACCAGCTGGCAAGTGACTTCACTGCACATTTTCAACCTCTCCCTGACCCAGTCTGTAATACCTACATGTTTCAAGCAGACCACCGTAGTCCCTGTGCCCAAGAACGCCAAGTTAACCTGTCTAAATGACTATCGCCCTGTAGCACTCACATCTGTAGCCATGAAATGCTCTGAAAGGCTAGCGTTCATAGGCTAGGTTGAATAGGGAAAATTGTAGTATCATGTAGTAGCCTAAACCTATCGATGTTACATTGAGCTGGGTGAATGTAATATGAATGACAGTCATCCAATATGCTGTGATAGAAATAAGGCCATGCTCATAAAACATTTTTTTATTGTCCTCCCTCATCTTAAACGTCACCGACTGCCACTGCGGTACATCCTGTATAGATTATAGAGATTTGACGAATGACATTGTGGCTTCTCTAAGCTGATTCAGCAGGCAGTTAAGCAGTGAGACCATATGGAGCCCAGGTGCACCTGCCATCACTCAGACATTCCTTTCTGATACCCCCTTTAACTCTATCTCTAGAGTATCGAGCACTAATGAGCTAGACGTAAGAGATAGAGTAGCAGAGAGAGAGAGAGAGAGAGAGAGAAGATATGAGAGACGAGAGAAGAGAGAGAAGATACGAGAATTCTCTACTCTCATCTCTCTCTCTAGATCGATCTTCTCTACTCTATCTTCGCAGCTCTCGTCGATACTCTCTCTCTCTCTCCCTCTACTCTCTCCTCCTCTCTCTCTCTCTCTCCTCTCTCTCCCCCTAATGTGTCTCCTAAAGGAGTTTCTCTAAGTAGAGAATGATTGTTCCGTTCTCACTGCCAAGTAACAAATATAATTGTGATAACAATAGGGAGCAGTGGCTTTTACTTCTCACATCACACCAAGACCAAAAACAAAAGTCACACTCACCCACCAACAACACACACAACACACACACACACACACACACACACACACACACACACACACAAGATCCTTGTCTCGACTGTCTCCACTCATAGTGATTTACAGGCGTGAACAGTCTGGCGGTGGCCAACGCCAGGGCTGTTACTCCATTACATCTGCATGACATTAAGCGACAGCCTCAGCTAACATCAATCTGAAAATGTTCCCCTCTCCTATATTAATTTGCCACCTGTCTTTCTCTCAATCTCAATAGTCCAGGTCCAGATCTGTATGTGCTTTAGCCAACTCTAACTAATGAATGGAATGAAAACTATAGAAGACTAGGCTAACAGGCAACAATCTTAGTGAAAGCACTAATGGTTGAGAGACCACCTAAAAAGGAGACAAGGAAAGGAAGCCATTTGAGGACTGGGACATAGAATACATATCTGGGATTCCTAAAGCTAATCCAAATAAAGAACTAAATCAGTTGAGTTACTATATATGCCTCTCTAAAAGCTTTTTCGCAAGAACATTACTAAAGCTGATAACTCATATACCTCTATACCCTTCCATCCCAGATTGGGCGTTCCACAGAGAGCCCCATAGACTTTGTGGTGACGGACACAGTGCCCGGCAGCCAGCAGAGCCACGGGGGGGAGGGCCAGACCCAGACCCAGACCCAGTCTATCCAGAGCACCATCTCGCGCTTCGCCTGCCGTATCATCTGCCAGCGGAGCCCGCCCTACACCGCTCGCATCTACGCCGCCGGCTTCGACTCCTCCAAGAACATCTTCCTGGGGGTGAGTTGGTGATTGTGATGAAAACAAAATAGCTGCCATATAATTAGGATAGAAATAATACTAGTATGATATACTGTATCTCTGTAAGCATTTGCAATTAGCATTTATGATGCAATGATGTTTATGAGCCATAATAAAACCGTGATATAACTATGAACTATTAGAACTAAAAGAATTGCACGGATATTTCCTTTTCTACTGTCTATCCCTTCTCTCACCCAGGAGAAGGCTGCCAAGTGGAGGACACAGGACGGACAGATGGACGGGCTGACCACTAATGGCGTGCTGGTGATGCACCCTCGCCACGGCTTCACGCAGGACTCCAAGCCGGGCGTGTGGAGAGAGATCTCTGTCTGTGGCAACGTCTTCACCCTCAGAGAGACCCGCTCCGCCCAGCAACGGGGCAAAATGGTGGGTAGCTAGTACATAGACACAAGCATGCACACACACACACACACGTACACACACAGATGCACACACACGCATTAAGTAACAAGCACTAACATGTGTGTAGATGTGAGCACTTGCAGATACATAACATGTTCACACACACATACACACATTCCTGTGCAGTCTCATTGAGTGAGTCTCCTCTCTGCAAGCCATGCCATGCCATTGTTTTGCAGGGAAATTGTCTTAAGAAGCTGTTTCTGAAGCATTAATACTGCACTAATTGAATGGAACCCACCAGCTATTATCCCCAGTTTCCACACTAACTTGGAACAATTGATCTCTGGAACAATTTTTCAGAACATAGACTCTACCGTCCTCCAAAATGTTATTGTTGGGTAACTTCATTAAAGTCATTGAACAACAGCTCTGTGATATGAGCAGATGGGAAATCTTAACAAATTAATTTGTTATCTCAGTTGTACAGAATAGTCTGGTTGGATGGGCTTTAGCTGTTTGAGGTCTCGGTTTCTCATACACAGAAATCAGCATCTGATTTATAGTGTGATAGGTCTGTTATGTCACCGATAATAACCTCCCCTGGAAAACCCTGACTCTAGACCTTTAAGTTCCATCCCCTTCTCCCAGAGACCACACAGTCAGTTTGGAAGATTGCTGTGTGTCAGAGGAATTCTCATAGGAATCCCCTCCCCTCCTCACCCTCCTAACCTCACCGTCATTTTGGGAGGAATGACTGAGAGTCTCAGACATGCTGTTATTATGATTATGATGTGGTTTAGCCTTTAGACTTTAAAACTGAGGCACGGGAACGGCCAGGGAAGGGGGGAGGAAATGCCAAGAGCTGATAAGGGAGGGAGAGAGGAAGGGATGCTGGTTCAGTGGGTTCAGTCCCAGCAGGTCTGCACTCAGTCTGAAACAAAAACAAGGTTTCTTTGATCTATTATTGAGCTAAAGGCCAATAATACAGGACAATGCTCAATACAATACTGAAATATACTTATCTCTCTTCACTCCAAAGAAATGAAAAGCACTACACAAGGTCCCTTAATGGAGAACCCATGATCCCCCCTTCACCCCACAGCTATTAAATGTGGCATCTATAGGTTGCCGTCTACAGGACCATTGACACATTTAATCAAGGCAGACTGCAGAGCCACTCCATGTGGAGCATGTGTTTGTATTGTGTTTGTGAATATCTCGCCATCTCTTTGCTAATATTTCTGTGTCTCTTGTCCTCGCCTCTCTCCCACTGCAGGTGGAGAGCGAGAGCCAGGAACTGGTGGACGGCTCGCTGATCGACCTGTGCGGCGCTACCCTCCTGTGGCGCACGGCCGAGGGCCTCTCGCGCACCCCCACCGTGAAGCACCTGGAAGCCCTGCGGCAGGAGCTGAACGCTGGGCGGCCCCAGTGCCCGGTGGGCTTCAACACCCTGGCCTTCCCCAGCCTCCGCCGCAAGGAGATCCTGGATGAGAAGCAGCCCTGGGTCTACCTCCGATGCGGCCATGTGCACGGCTACCACGGCTGGGGAGGCCAAGGACGGGAGCCCGAGGATGAGGTGGTGGAGGTGGGCCGGGAGAGGGAGTGCCCCATGTGCCGAACCAGGGGGCCGTATGTACCGTTATGGCTGGGGTGTGAGGCGGGGTTTTACCTGGACGCGGCACCGCCCACTCACGCCTTTAGTCCGTGTGGTCACGTGTGCTCGGAGAAGACGGCGGCGTTCTGGAGCCAGATCCCGCTGCCACACGGCACGCACACCTTCCACGCCGCGTGTCCGTTCTGCGTGCAGCAGCTGGCTGGTGAGAGCGGCTACCTCAGACTTATCTTCCAAGGGCCCCTGGACTAGATAATGGACAACGCTCTCCTCCCAAACCCCAACTGACACTTCACAACTACCAGGGTTGTGATCATTAGGGCACGCAACCGAAAACATCTTAAAACGTTTTGCAACAGAAAATGAAAATTAGAGTTTCTTATTGGACAAATCCAGGTAGGGCCATTTGATAACCAAGTTAATGGTGGAAAAACAGCAAAAAAATACTTAACTTAAATATTTTGGAGAGCTACGGAATACTTTTTTGCTTCTCTCATTTCAAGTGACCTTTTTTCTAGCAGTGCTGTTTTCGATAATATAATTATATTTTCATGTTAAGAATAAAAATGCGCTACAGTATATGCTAACACAGCAAACTCTTCCACAAGTGCAGATTTGTAATGTTCTAATGCAAAATCCATTGTGAGGATGTGTGTGTGTGGATTGATGTTTATAGTCATTTCTTTTTCTATCTGAAACTTATGAGGCAATTGTAGCAGAAACAAGGATACTTTGTAATGCTAGCTACTGTTTTGGAAGTGACCTCCTTTTTCTTAGACATGAAGACCCATGTTGTTAAACTAGGCCTAGTAAATCAATATTTGGCGATTGCATAAAAAAAGTGCTTATGGCCTTATACCTTTTTTACCATGAATCCCAACATGTACCCTATCTGAATGTTATTAATCACCACATCAAAACGTAGGTATAAGGTGGTATAAGAAGTGAAAGAAGTACATAATAAAAAATAATATCACAGGACTGGAGAAACAGATCTATAAATTGACTGGTGGAAACTTGTTGACAATTACACTTATCTGAATGTCCAGACTGTGTTCAAGCAAGCAAGTGATCAATTTATGAATTGAAGTGTGGCCCTAAACACATTGACTTTTCAGATGGTATGAACGTTTTCCACTCTCATCTTCCATGTGTACCTGTATAGTATTTATGTTTATGTTAATGTCTCCATGTTTCGTCTTCTGATCTTAATTTACGCAATGATTTGTACCCCAATTTGAGTAACGTGTGAGAGCATATTTTCTTTACTGTACAACCAACTTACATTTATGTTTTACCAGTTAGTTCTGCTTTATATCCTCATGATAGCCTGAGGTTTTTTACAGGATGTTGAGTACTATTTCTGCAAAGAGTGTTGCTGTTGCAGACAACAGGTGTTTTGAACCAACTGGAAACAATAAAAGTTAAAACCTTTGAAATTGTTCACATTTGTGTGAGTGCTGTTGGAATCAAAGTCATCAATCCACACTGAACAGAACTCATGTATACTAGATATTTGGTTTATTTTGCTAAAATAAATAAGATATGCAAAAACATTCACCCTATTATACACAGTATTCATTTGGATTGACACTACTAGCTAGTTCAGATAAAAATGACTTTTGCCACATGAGAATGTGAAAGTTGTCAGTTGAAAGCAGTAGGTAGGGGATGGGCAACTATATACAGTTGAAGTCGGAAGTTTACATACACTTAGGTTGGAGTCATTAAAACTCGTTTTTCAACCACTCCACAAATTTCTTGTTAACAAACTATAGTTTTGGCAAGTCGGTTAGGACATCTACTTTGTGCATGACACAAGTAATTTTTCCAACAATTGTTTACAGACAGATTGTTTCACTTATAATTCACTGTATCACAATTCCAATGGGTCAGAAGTTTACATACACTGAGTTGACTGTGCCTTTAAACAGCTTGGAAAATTCCAGAAAATGATGTCATGGCTTTAGAAACTTCTGATAGGCTAATTGACATCATTTGAGTCAATTGGAGATGTACCTGTGGATGTATTTCAAGGCCTACCTTCAAACTCAGTGCCTCTTTGCTTGACATCATGGGAAAATCAAAAGAAACCTCAGAAAAAAAAGTGTAGACCTCCACAAGTCTGGTTCATCCTTGGGAGCAATTTCCAAACACCTGAATGTACCACATTCATCTGTACAAACAATAGTACGCAAGTATAAACTCCATGGGACCGCTCAGGAAGGAGACGCGCTCTGTCTCCTAGAGATGAACGTACTTTGGTGCGAAAATTGCAAATCAATCCCAGAACAACAGCAAAGGACCTTGTGAAGATGCTGGAGGAAACTGATACAAAAGTATCTATATCCACAGTAAAACGAGTCCTATATCGACATAACCCGAAAGGCCGCTCAGCAAGGAAGAAGCCACTACTCCAAAACCGCCATAAAAAACCCAGACTACGGTTTGCAACTGCACATGGGGACAAAGATCTTACTTTTTGGAGAAATGTCCTCTGGTCTGATTAAACAAAAATTTAACTGTTTGGCCATAATGACCATTGTTATGTTTGGAGGAAAAAGGGGTAGGCTTGCAAGCCGAAGAACACCATCCCAACCGTGAAGCACGGGGTGGCAGCATCATGCTGTGGGGGTGCTTTGCTGCAGGAGGGACTGGTGCACTTCACAAAATAGATGGCATCATGAGGAAGGAAAATGATGTGGATATATTGAAGCAACATCTCAAGACATCAGTCAGGAAGTTAAAGCTTGGTCGCAAATGGGTCTTCCAAATGGACAATGACCCCAAGCATACTTCCAAAGTTGTGGCAAAATGGCTTAAGGACAACAAAGTCAAGATATTGGAGATGCCATCACAAAGCCCTGACCTCAATCCTATAGAAAATGTGTGGGCAGAACTGAAAAAGCGTGTGCGAGCAAGGAGGCCTTCAAACCTGACTCCGTTACACCAGCTCTGTCAGGAGGAATGGGCCAAAATTCACTCAACTTATTGTGGGAAGCTTGTGGAAGGCTACCCAAAACATTTGACCCAAGTTCAAGGCACAATTTAAAGGCAATGCTACCAAATACTAATTGAGCGCATGTAAACTTCTGACCCACTGGGAATGTGATGAAATAAATCATTCTCTCTACTATTATTCTGACATTTCACATTCTTAAAATAAAGTGGTGATCCTAACTGATCTAAGACAGGGAATTTTTACTAGGATTAAATGTCAGGAATTGTGAAAAACTGAGTTTAAATGTATTTGGCTAAAGTGTATGTAATCTTCCGACTTCAACTGTGTGTATATATATATATATATATATTTTAGGAACTCAGTCGGGGTCTCAACTTACTGTTGAGTTAGAATAATATAATACACAAGGTGCAATTTCGAAATTTGGTTGTGCATCAGCAGTCACTCAATTAGCCCATGTCAGCTAAAAGTTTTTTGATTGGTAATTTAGTCTAGCAGCCAGCTTTCTAAACTTGTAGTAAGCATGGTCAAATTACCGACCGGGGTGAGGCCCATTGATCATCAGTTATCATATTAAAAACTGCAAACATTTGCCTTCATCCTATGGCAATTTGTATGTGTAGAATTGCATGAAATAAGTTATAAAATTGCTAAATGTTCTCTCCGCCCCATGGCAAAATGTGTAAAATTGCAGGAAAGAACTTTAAAAATAAAAATGAATCTCTTCACTGCCATGAGGGGGGTCACTAAAATGTTTTGCTCGCAAGGTGGGGAGGGGGGTGTATGGATGTGGGTACGCAGACCCACGAGCCATTGCAGCCCCTCATTATGAGTTGCGTTTTTTTGTGGCCCCCCACGCCCATCAAAGTTGCTAATCTCTTCAGTAAAGTAGTTGGTAGCAGTGTGCTGTGATGAGAGCGACTGCACGGTTATGCACGAAAGAACTCGAAGAAGATTGTTCGCGCAGTGCATTATGGTTACGTACCGGCTGCGGTGGTTTGCTTGATGTTTTCTCCTGGTTCGTATAATGTTACCGTGATGGTGGAAAGAAGAATCAAGAACTAATGTGTTTCTAACAACAGGTATCAGACATAACGCACCTTCTTTTGGTTTGTCTGCTCGTCAGAAAAGCTCAGCGGTGATGTATTTGTGTGGACTGCTTCCGTCTGTTTGGCTGTCAAATGGCTAGCGGGCTAGCGTTTTTCTAGCTTCGATTATCAGTCTACGTGTAACCAGCTGGTCTCTTCAGGCCGTTGCTGTCTTGGGTAGCTACTCTAATATCGATGCTCGAAGAGTAAATCGTATCTCGTCTGTAAATGACAGTTAATGTTGCCGGACGACAGGGAAAATGCGAATGTGGACGGTGGTGTTTCATAGTTAGCTACAGTAGCTAACTAACTAGCTTAATTAATTGGTTAGCTAGCTAATTTAGCTACTTAGCTAACTAGAGTTATCGCGTTATCTTGTTTCCCACCTGAGATAGTTAAGGAGCTGCAGTTGTCTAGCAGTGTGATGGGGCAAACACCCCTCTATTAAGTTATCTAGCTATTTAAAAAGTAAAATAACTTACGCTAACTAGATTAATACGCTAACTAGATTCATTTCAGCTAAAACTGTCATCTGATTAGATACCCAACTAGTTAATTGATCACGTCATCATGCTGGTGGTGTTGGAACATTATCTGAATCGCAGAGATAGCTGACTATATTTTCTAGACATTTAGCATAGTATAGTTTTGATCCAGATAGCCCTCAGCTAGCGAATTTATTTTGATTGGAGCTGTCCATTTAACCGTTAGCAAGCTACATTAACATTAACATTTGACATTGTTGGAATAGGCAGCTACGATGTCATTGCTCAATGACGTGTTCAGTGTCTTGTAATGCGCGTGACCTTGGTGTAAATCAGTCATATGACAGACTTAATATATGGCCCTGGTGTAAATCATTGATTTGCTTATTTCACCATGCATTCGATATTGTATGTTACTGAAACTGACAACAACACATATCCATATTGACAGGAGCTGATTGTAGCCTATGCCCACATTTCACCCTAATCTTTTCAAGACTGATTAGACAACAGAGAATCTTCGCTCCTGTAGGCAGTTTATCATGGTCTCAGTTGTTTACACAACACTGTCTTCTAGTCTGATTATATTGGTTAACCTATAGGCCATGTTCTAGGCACCCTCTATTTTAATCACCAATGGTGAATTACTTTGAATTTGATAATTCAGTTTAGGCAGACAGGACTACTAGTTATGTAGACAAAGCAATAACTCAATCAATACACAGAGGAAGTGAGTCAAAAGGGGTCGCTTTTCTCACTGTTCAGATTATAGCCTAACACCTGCTCTGAGTGACAACATATCTGCACTTTCTCTGCTTCACACTAGTGACTTGTGACATTAACTGAAAGTCATTGCTGTGCACAGAAAAATGGGCTGACTTTTGAGTGGAATGACTGAATTGATTGACTACTGACACAAGTGGTCCACTGTATCCTTCCTCTCTCAGCATTTGGTTTTCTATGGCCCTATTTTCAATGCCCTTGGGCTAAGAGCTATGCAGATGGTCCGGTTTAGTGTTTACATTTTATTGTTAGTGCAAACATTGATGTTTAGGCTATGTCTTTGTTTTGTATTAATACTCACTGACTCTGTGCTATGTTTGCTAACTCAGCTAGCCTCCGTGGAGAGGTGCACCAATGCCATGGCCTCCAGCCACAGCTCCTCCCCAGTGCCTCATCCCAGCAGTGGTGGCAGCGAGGGAATCTTCCGGAAGGACAGGGACCCTTCCTCACGACACTACAGGCCCGTCCGCTCCCTGCCCGACGTATGCCCCAAGGAGCCCACGGGTAAAGAACTCGCCTACATTTACGGTTGGCCAACAGTCTTACAAGATGAATATCTATAAAGGTTCATCTTGTGTCACTGTTGACCAACCATACGCTGACTGCGGTCCTGTTTTCTACCCCTCTCCCAAAGTGTGCACTTGTACACTCTCCCTCATGGATTTCAAAGGAATGGACTGGTGTAAAGAACTCCCTCCAGCGATTCTTGCACCAATCCAAAGCTTTTAAATGCATGAGCGGAAGTGAACAAGTGCACACTTCTTGGTAAAGGGTAGAGAATTGGTAGCCTCAAATGAGAGCGCAGCGGTGAGGATGGTGGTTCAGGCTAGAGAATTGGAGCGCAACCATGGAATGCATCTCAAGATGCATTGAACGTTTTATTACTGCTGAAGGTTTCTACTGACTACATTTCCCACGTGCCCTTGCAGGCGAGGCAGCCCGGGGGCTGTGCGAGGGCCCGTCGGTGGTGGCCGACCAGCACAGGTGGACGGTGTACAACTCCAAGGTGAACCTCCCAGCCGCGCTGAACGACCCACGGCTGGCCAAGAGGGAGTCTGACTTCTTCACCAAAACCTGGGGCCTGGACTTTGCCGAGACAGAAGTCATGCCCTCCTTCTACCTCCCCAACATTACAAAGGAACACTTTGGCCCCTACCTGCAGGAAACAGCTCAGGTAACGAACACACCCCGCTGCCCCTTTCATTCAGTTTGAATTATTCAGTAGATTGGACAGAAGTAGAGACCACTGTCTGGCCTGGGTTGTGTTCATTAGGGCATGCAACAGAAAACATTTAAAAACATGTTGCAATGGAAAATAAAAATGAGCATTTCTTATTGGGCAAGTCCAGATAGTCCCTTCCTGTTTGTCTGTTTGGTGCCTAATGAACACAGCCCAGGTGTCATCCTCTTTCTATTGTTTAATTATTACTATGGAACTGCCCTTTGCAATGTAATGAACGTTGCCTTTTAAGCTATTTCTAAGACTTTGTCCTCTTCCCTTTACTCGTGGTCGAAATAGCACTAAGAAAATGCATCCACTATATTTAAACTGTATAAGCTATTAGGCCTAAACTAAATCTAAATTTAAAACTAAATCGTGTCTGTGTTTCTCTGTAGAGGGAAAAAATCCATGTGCGATGCAAGAATATCTGTCCCAACAAGGATGAGCTGGACGCTGTCTCCAGCATCACAAACAGCCACGGTATGCATTATTAAATAGCTCTGCACCATAATGACTGGGGCCTACAGTATCTATTCTGGACCGTACGGACAAATCTATCTTATTATTTGTGTTGTCAAATTTCCTTTCATTGTTGAAGTGAGTTGATTCAACTAATGTGCTCTTTCACTTTCTCTTCTTCGTAGACAAATCAAGAACAGAGTTGGAGCAGGTGCCCAAGGTAATTACTTCCTCTTGTTTTGTGTTGTAACAGTGAGTTGTGGGGATTTCTAGAGCCCTATTGAACCATTTTGTCCCCTTGATTTGACTGTATGCTTTCATGATCCTCAAACTGTCATTAATACCATTTACTTGATATAATAGATTTGTAATTGTATTAGTATCTCCCTAGTCTAGCTAGCGCAGCACACATAAGATTTGGTTCTGGATTCCAAAATGAATATCTGCCTAATATCTGGCTTAAACAGATATTCATGAAGCCTGACTTTGCGCTAGACGAGCCAACGACCTTTAACGCGGTCCTACCATGGTCCCACTTCAACAGCGCTGGCGGGAAGAGCAGCAGGGACGTGGCATCGTCACGGTTACTACAGGAAAAGGTGAGCCAGCAAAAATGTGAACAATTATCAAGTCCTGCATTGTTTCATTGCTTCACCGTCATGTTTCCTGTTGTTGTGCCATCGTGTTCTGTTGTTGGCTTATCCCTCTCTTTCTCAGCTGAGCCACTACCTCGACGTGGTGGAGGTGAGCATCGCGCGCCAGATCTCCCTGCGCTCTGAGGCATTCTTCCACGCCATGTCCTCCCAGCACGAGCTCCAGGACCGCCTCACCGAAACCGCCCGCGCCGTGGCAGTCCTCCGGGGCCGCACGGCCGCCATCGAACGCATCATGTGCGAAGGCCCGCTGCGGGCATTGCGGCAGGCGTTGACGCGCTCCAACTGCGCGCGGCTGCACAACAAGCTGAAGCTGATGGCGGCAGTGCACCAGAGCCAGCCCACTGTGCAGCTGCTGCTCTCCACCTCGGAGTTCGTCGGGGCCCTGGAGCTCATCGCCACCACCAAGGAGGTGCTGCAGCAGGAGCTGCAGGGGATACACAGCTTCAGGTGGGGGGATGGAGACAGACGAGTGGGGGGTGGATGTGTATAAAATGTTTGTTACATACTCAGATCTATCGACGCACACGGTGGTGACACTCGTCTGATGAAATGCACTGACACTCATATGAGACAAACATGCATCAAATCATAGTAAGCAGCAGTCCACCCCAACTATTTATTGTGGGTAAGCTTGAAGCAAAAATGCAGCATGGTTGCAGAACTGTATCATGCTGAAAGTTTAAAATATACACCACTTTGGTGGTCCTCTGTAGCTCAGCTGGTAGAGCACGGCGCTTGTAACGCCAGGGTAGTGGGTTCGATCCCCGGGACCACCCATACACAAAAATGTATGCATGCATGACTGTAAGTCGCTTTGGATAAAAGCGTCTTCTAAATGGCATATTGTTATTATTCTAGTCAGAATGCTTTTCACAGAGTTTCATTTGGAAAGTATTCAGACCCCTTACCTTTTTTTGTTTACGTTTCAGCCTTATTCTAAAAATAAATTCCTCATCAATCTACACACAATACCCCATAATGACAAAGCAAAAACAGGTTTTTAGAAATTTTCGCAAGTATATTGAAAATTAAAAACAGATTACATTTACGTCATTTAGCAGACGCTCTTATCCAGAGCGACTTACAGGAGCAATTAGGGTTAAGTGCCTTGCTCAAGGGCACATCGACAGATTTTTCACCTAGTCGGCTCGGGGATTAGAACCAGCGACCTTTCGATTACTGGCACAACGCTCTTACCCACTAAGCTACCTGCCACCAGATTATTTACAAAAGTATTCAAACCTTCACTATGAGACTCGAAATTGAGCTCAGGTGCATCCTGTTTCCTTTGATCATCCTTGAGATGTTTCTACAACTTGATTGGAGTCCACCTGTGGTAAAGTCAATTGATTGGACAATTGAAATAGACAGGCACACACCTGTCTATTTAAGGTCCCACAGTTGACAGTGCATGTCAGAGCATAAACCAAGCCATGAGGTTGAAGGAATTGTCCGTAGAGCTCCAAGACAGGATTGTGTCGAGGCACAGATCTGGGGAAGGGTACCAAAACATGTCTGTAGCATTGAAGGTCCCCAAGAACACAGTGGCCTCCATCATTCTTAAATGGAAGAAGTTTGGAACCACCAAGACTCTTCCTAGAGCTGGCCTCTGGCCAAACTGAGCAATCGGGTGAGAAGGGCCTTGGTCAGGGAGGTGACCAAGAACCCGATGGTCACTCTGACAGAGCTCCAGAGTTCCTCTATGGAGATGGGAGAACCTTCCAGAAGGACAACCATCTCTGCAGCACTCCACCAATCAGGCCTTTATGGTAGAGTGGCCAGACGGAAGCCACTCCTCAGTAAAAGGCAGATGATAGCCTGCTTGGAGTTTACCAAAAGGCTCCTAAAGGACTCTCAGACCATGAGAAACAAGATTCTCTGGTCTGATGAAACCAAGATTGAACTCTTTGGCCTGAATGCCAAGCGTCATGTCTGGAGGAAACCTGGCACCATCCCTACGGTGAAGCATGTTGGTGGCAGCAGCATGCTGTGGGGATGTTTTTCAGCGGCAGGGACTGGGAGACTAGTCAGGATCGAGGGAAAGCTGAACGGAGCAAAGTACAGAGAGATCCTTGATGAAAACCTGCTCCAGAGCACTCAGGACCTCAGACTGGGGTGAAGGTTCACCTTCCAACTGGACAACGACCCTAAGCACACAGCCAAGACAATGCAGGAGTGGCTTCGGGACAAGTCTCTGAATGTCCTTGAGTGGCCCAGCCAGAGCCCGGACTTAAACCCGATTTAACATCTCTGGAGAGACCTGAAAATAGCTGCGCAGCAACGGTTCCCATCCAACATGACAGAGCTTGAGAGGATCTGCAGAGAAGAATGGGAGAAACTCCCCAAATACAGGTGTGCCTAGCTTATAGCGTCATACCCAAGAAGACTCAAAGCTGTAATCGCTGCCAAAGGTGCTTCAACAAAGTACTGAGTTAAAGGGTCTGAATACTTATGTAAATGTGATGTTTCCGGGTTTAAAAAAAAAATACATGAGCAGAAATTTCTACAAACCTGTTTTTGCTTTGTCATTGTGGGGTATTGTCTGTAGATTGATGAGGGGGGGGAAAACAATTTAATCAATTTTAGAATAAGGCTGTAACGTAACAAAATGTGGAACAAGTCAAGGGGTCTGAATACTTTCCGAATGCACTGTAAGTAGTTTTAAACATGAGTCCCCAGCCCATAGTTAACCATAGTGAATTCAAAGTGTGGCCTTTGGACACTGTGATGCGTCTGATGTCTCCTGTCTTTCCCCCCTGCAGACATCTGGGCTCTCAGCTGTGTGAGCTGGAGAAGCTGATAGACAAGATGATGGTGGAGGACTTCAGCATGTACTCCAGGAGTGACCTCAGCAGGAGTCTGGAGGACGACGGACAGGTCATGGAGAAGGTCTGTACCATTGAGATAAAATATAAACAATGTTTACATTTAATTCTGTGGTCGGTATATTTAACTCATTCATTCTCAATGACTGGCTACACAAAGGTTTAAATGCACTAAATCCACTGTCCGAAGACAGGAGAAAAATAAGTTCTGGTTTGAACTCTATAGGTTGAGTTCAACTATAAATGGACAATTTTGTGAATGTGTAGATGTAGTTGAAGCACCAAACTGAGGTTGTTTTTTGTCACAGTGGTCACTGTTCTCACAGATGCAATACAAACGTTCAGTCTCAATAAAGGTGGGTCTGACTCTTCCGAACAAGTTTGCTACTTGGAATCAAGTGAATAAAAATGGCACATTTTGGGTGCTCTTGTATAGATTGTTTTCCTCTGATCTGAACAATGTGTTGATCTCTGCAATCATCAACCTAATTTACATTTCAGTAGCACAATTACCTTTTGTTATTATGAGTATGGGAACTTTTAATGACTCTGAAGGGGATTTTAATTATATCTCCATTACGCGGAAATCATTGTCTTAATTGGATTTAAATATGAATCTCTTTGTTTATTCAAGCTGTCTTGAATTTGTAATTTAATTGGTGTCTTATAATAATTGATCTCTTGAAGTGAAGAATTACTGTGATTGTATTGCTCACTCGTGTGTGTGTGTGTGTGTGTGTGTGTGTGTGTGGGGGGACAGGACAGGCTGGAGTCTCTGGTGTTTGGCTTGCTGAGGCAGCGGAAGCTGGATTTTCTGGACATCTACAGCGACGAGATGATCCTAGCAGCCAAAAGCATCGTCACACAGGTAGAAGACTAGACATAGAAAGTATCAGAGAACAGACTATACTTCATGATCATAAACATTTATGGTGAAATCACGAAAAAACATCTTAGACATTTTAAGAGTATTTCCCAAACCTCTCCTCCAGCACCCCCTCCCAGTTCCACCTTTTGGTCTATTCCTGAACTAGCACACCTGTATCAAACGAGAAATACACTTTGAATTAGTAAAATGGAAAGTAACATACTCTTATCCCACAGTGTGTTGTCGACTCGGTGTCGCAGATTGAAGAAATCAACACTGACATTGTCACAAAGTGAGTAGAACAGCTAGCTATACATTGCATGCTTTTGTATTTCGCTTGAGCACATTGAGCTGCAGGTAATATCTACCGAATGCACTGGAGGTGTGGCCAAACAATGGCATGGTGATCTGAGAATCCTTCCTCAACAAAGGAAAGGAAGCTAAGCCAGTTGGTTACGGTTGTCTTAACGAGTTAGACTGCTTTAATCTGTCATCCTACCTTTGAAAGGAGTGCTTGGAATATGACAGGAGGGCTGTGAAAAAACTGTGGGTGTAGACATCTAATTATGAGAGCGTAACGTTAGATTGTCAGAAACGTATTGTTTAGGACAGGGCTCTTCAACAGCCTTCAGATCATTTGATTTAGCCCCCCCAAGTTTTCTTTTTTGTTGTTGAATTTTTGTTGGTGGACAAAAAAGACTGTACAATCACCAGGACATCAGTTCAGTGATTTTAATTGAGGAAATCTGTTCCCAGGTATTCCCATGCATCAATAGAGAGACATGTGTGATCGTATCCCAATTTAATCAAGGTTTGAACTTAAATCCTGGACTCTGGTCAGTTTATTTTAATACTTTTCTATTTGCTATGTTCTTAAAGTTTAACATCACTACACCCCTGGGTTGTATTCACTAGACACCAACTGGAAGACCCTGAATATGTCTATTAACCGTTTAACCCAACCGGCTGGTAGAGTATGTTTTGGCAATGGATATAGAAGTGGATAGGAAAAAAGTTGATTGGTCAACTTCCCCAGCCCTCCTGCATCAATTAAAGTCAAAAATGTGATGTTTCCTGTGTGTGTGTACATACATACTGTACATACATACACTGAACACAAATATAAACGCAACATGTAAAGTGTTGGTCCCATGTTTCATGAGCTGAAATAAAAGATCTCAGAAATGTCATATGCACAAAAAGCTTATTCCTCTCAGATTTTGTGCACAAATTTGTTTACATCCCCTGTTAGTGAGCATTTCTACTTTGCCAAGGTAATCCATCCACCTGACAGGTATGGCATATCAATAATCTGATTAAACAGCATGATCATTACACAGGTGATCTCTGTGTATTCAAGTTGCCATTGATAAAATGCAATTGTGTTCGTTGTCCGTAGCTTATGCTTGCCTGCCAATACCATAACCCCACAGCCACCATGGGGCACTCTGTTCACATCGTTGACATCAGCAAACCGCTCGCCCACACGATGCCATACACGTGGTCTGCGCTTGAGGCCGGTTGGACGTACTGCCAAATTCTCTAAAACGACATTGGAGGCTTATGGTAGAGAAATGAACATTACATTCTCTGGCAACAGCTCTGGTGGACATTCCTGCAGTCAGCATGCCAATTGCACGCTCCCTCAAAACTTGAGACATCTGTGGCATTGTGTTGTGTGACAAACTGCACATTTTAGAGTGGTCTTTTATTGTCCCCAGCACAAGGTGCACTTGTGTAATGATCATGCTGTTTAATCAGCTTCTTGATATGCCACACCTGTCAGGTGTATGGATTATTTTGGCAAAGTAGAAATGCTCACTAACAGGGATGTCAACACATTTTGTGCAATTTGAGAGAAATAAGCTTTTTGTGTGTATGGAAAATGTCTGGCATCTTTTATTTCAGCTCATAAAACATGGGACCAACACTCTACATATTGCGTTTATATTTTTGTTCAGTGTAGTTTTAATAGACCAATAAGAAAGAGCGTTCCAAACCTCTCTGTCAATAACAGCTAGTTTTCTGTTTTCTCCTCACTCAGGCCACTCCCAGCTAAATTTTGAGAAATTGCTCTCTCTAAGAAGCTATTTTTGTTTCTTTTAGACCATTTTGATTGTTTTCAATCACACTAAGTTACTTAATTGTTTCCCAGAAATGAGAACATTTTGATAAAAACGGCTGCATTGTGCCTTTTAGCATACAGTAATTTGTATCCTTTTGGGTTGCTGCATTTCAGTGTTGTGGCACTATAACATGCTAACCAAACCTGCTCCCCACCAGATGCGTTCATGACACAGGTTAAAATACCAAAACCAACTGTGAGCCAACTATATTAATTTGGGGACAGGTCGTAACATTCATGGACATTTAGCTAGCTTGCTGTTGCTAGCAAATTTGTCCTGGACAATAAACATTGGGTTGTTATTTTACCTGAAATGCATATGGTCCTTTTTGGACTGGATCTTTTGTAGAATTTTGACCCATGTTGAGTCATACAAAATCAGGTGTTCTCTACTCTGACAATTTAATCCACAGATAAAAAGGGGAAACCTAGTTCGTTTTTCTCAGAGCGTTGTAAAATAAATGTACACATACATCTTAGTCAATCATTTCATCCAAACTGCTTGCATGCGTCAACGAGCGTTTGCGTAGCCAGGCGCTAAATTTTGATGCTTGAGGCGCTGCAAGTCCCGCCTCTCCATCTCCTCATTGGTTTCTAGGAGCATATACCCACGTGGGTGATTTAAAGATTAACTGAGGTCAACACTCCAGTCAGTTGGTTGCCAACCACCATATAAAGTCCACAGAAGAAGACAACTGAAGGAGGAGAGATTACTAGAAACTAACTAGGTTTCCCCTTTTATTTTTTCCATTTAGCTCGACCTTAAATTACTTCACCAATCAGTGCGGAGAGAACAGTTTAGGAGCACGCAAGCTATAGTTGTTTACATGCGCGATGGACAGACAATTGTAGGGTGACAGATGCGACTGAAATTTTGGGTGGAGGAGAAGGCTTGCCTTGAAGCGCTGGGCATCTTATGACATGTATTATCAATGCTAGTTAAAGATACCATAGTTATCACGTTTCACATTGGATTTATTAACTACAGAAAGGTAAAACTTGTTTTTAATTCTGGTGCTGCTCTGTACACACAAGCTAGCTAGCTCTAGTCCAAAGTTAAGCCAACTGTCAGAAGTTCAAAGACATTTAAAGTTCCTCTATAGAATCTGCTCCTACATAGGTATAATTATGTGGGCCTAATTCAGAAAAAGTTAATAAATTATTCTGTAATTAAAAATCTCTCCCTAATTTCTTAATCACGCTTCTAAGGTCAGTAGCCTATGCTTCGGAGGGGGAGGGGTAGAGAACACACGATTTTGTGTGAAATTCTACAAAGATCCAGAATAATAGGACCCTGTGCATTTCAGGTAAAATAACAACACAATGTTTATATCCCAGGACAAATTAGCTTTCAACAGCAAGCTCCATGAATGTTTCATGTGTTTCGACTTTTGAGTGACATGGTACTATACACCACCTGAAAACGCATACATTTGAATGTAATTTAATATTTAGGTTTGGACATACAAAATTACCATAATTTGTAAAAATTTGACGTCAGTCCTCATTTAACAATGCTTACCTACCTATAAAAGCCATTGAAGCAGACCTAAAGTAATTTTTTAATATTGTTCGCATGAGTAAAAATGCTATGCAAATTACCATTCTAATATGGCATTGCTGGTATGACCCTCCTGGTAGGGCTATGTTATTTAATTTAAAATAAACATGAAGTTGGGAGAAGAGAAAAAATTATTGAAAGTTCTTATTTGAGTTGTTAGTAATAGGAATTTAAGGTGAAATAATTGTTTCTAGATTTTTTTTAAAGAGACAGTTGCAAAACATCTTCTGTTGCAAAACGTTTTAATATGGTTGCACTAATGAATACGACCCTGCTCTCTGCTTCTGGTTGGTCAGGCTGGCAGACCAGATGCGTCTGATGACCTTCCCCCAGTGGTTTGAGCTGCTGAAGTCCGTCTTTGAGAACTTCATTCTCTTACTGAAGAGGATCAAGGTGAGGATAATACTTTATTAAAACACAATCCCAGTCGGTTAGATTTAATCAAAATGGGATTTATGGAATTATCCTCTTGCTGAATAAAAGACTTGAAGAAAGTTTATTAAGAGGTAAAGAAAATGAAAGGGTGTTAGGATGCCTTGCTATATAAATTAGCATAGAAGAATAGAATAACACTTTAGCATTAGTTATTTTGCCAGTATCTACGAATTTTTATTTGCCGTTTTTGGTTGTGTGTAAACCAGCTGTATAAAGTGCATTACTTTACTGCCCCATTGTAGTACATTATTAATACATTTGTAGGACTCTGTTGATGATCTGTGCCTTAAATTTATCTGGTGTAGTTAGCAAGGTTGGGGTCAATTTCAATTCAAGAAGTACACTGAAATTCCAATGCTTTTCAATGAGGGAAATTTCCATTTGGAATTTAAATTTGGTTTACTTTCTGAATTAACTGAAATTTAAATGGAAGTGACCCCAACCCTGGTAGTTAGTTCCTCTGCTCTAAAAGTTAACCGTATGTCCTCATGCTGTGCCCCCCAGGCGACGCTGAGTGTGGTGAGGAATGTGGTGCTGGAGGCGCTGGACAGCAACCAGAAGAGCCGTCTGCTGGAGCGGGCTGCAGCGGGGGCCCTAACTGAGGCCCCAGGGACCCTTCTCAACCAGGGGGAAGCAGAACTGGCCTACCTCACCCACGAGGGCCTGTTCATCAGCGACGCTCTCAATGATGCCCAGCTGCACGTGGGGGCAAGCGGAGGCCAGGTGGAGAGCTCCTCCGTGGGGCCCAGACAGGCCCAGTCACGTATGGATGGTTGTGGTAGTGACTCCGCCTCAGGGACCACCGAGTCGTCCTCCAGCAGGGAACACGCTTTCCAGCCAGGAGGGGGCGTCGGCATCTCGTGAGTCTCACCACCTTCACCAACCACAAACACTCACATTTTTAACACTACTGAGTCAAGCTATACTGTGCTGGCCTGGTTATTTTTCCACCAAAGTAAAGTTTGCAACCCAAACAAGGCAATGTGAAAAGGATTCAAAACATGCTGCACATCTGTATACTCTCAGGAAATCAAAGTAACTGTCCAGTGTTTCCAGATTTCTATGAAATATGACCTATAATTCATTACAATATGCGTGAAATAGTTTTCCTTCCAAAATGTTTTATTTATGTTAAAAAGCAGCTTTTCTGTGTTTGAATGGTGTGAGTGTATGCCAACAACAGAATACAGGGTTTTTCTGGATCAAAAAGTGGCTTGGCGTGGCAGTGGGCGCAGTCGGGCCGTTGGCGAGGCAACGTTTTAGAGGCCCCCATTTTGGTGGTGTAGAGAAATTTTTGAAGTTAAGCCAATTTCCTGAAATTTTACACATTTCTCCATAGAGCTGAGTGACATATTTGCAGTTTTTAAAGCTAATTTCCTGCAATTCTATGCATTTTGCCATGGTTAACCCCTAGAAATCAAGTTGGCATAATAACAAAAGCTAGAGATATCCTCCGATGTCGGCCTTCCTCATCAGCGGTGGAAGGTGGCCGAGCTACAGCAGTGTTTGATAGACCAGGAGACATCCCGAAAATCGGTCTTCTCCCAAAAACGTCTGTAGCATCCGAATGGTTTGGCCAACAAACTATTATGACCCCTCTATATAAAGACTCACAAACTCCGTTTTGGTCTACGACCCACACAAGCGTCACGGGACTCGTCTAAAGTCGGATCTGCCGACTTCTGTCTGTAGCATCCGAACAGTTTGAGCACACACTAATATGACCCCTCTGTGGAAAGGTGAGTCTGAGTCTCTCTAGGACGCCCTCAAGCCTCACAAGACTTGTCTGAAGGGAGCCCAGTATCAGTTAAAACAAATTGTGGAAGTATACACTCCATTCACGAAAATGGATCGCTCTTACAGACAGTCACATGGCCGTGGCTTGCTATATAAAGCAGGCAGACAGGCATAGAGGAATTCAGTTACTGTTCCATTGAATGTTAGAATGGGCAAAACGAGTGACCTAAGTGACTGAGCGGCAGTCCTGTGGGCGAAAAGGGGGGGGGGTCCGGGGTCCGACCTGGTACTAGATGGCTGTACCAAATAAACTGCCCAATGAGTGTAGATATGTTTGAAGGTTGGGACACCGAGTGTCCCTTCCTAAGTGCCATCTGTATTCTGTACAATAGAAATAGAATGACTAAAAAGTGTCATTCTAGTAATTGTATTTCTATGTTGTCTGTCCGGCTGCAGGTCCAGTGAGGACATGATGCCCAGTGACCTGGAGCTGGGCCGCGTGGCCAATAACATCCAGGAGCTGCTCTACACCGCCTCAGACGTCAGCCACGACCGCTGTGTCAAAGTCCTCATGGCCAGAGCCAAGGTAGCTAGCTAGCTTAACGTACGCCATGACCGCATAAACAACATGCAGCATGACCAATGCACTCTCAGCTGGCTACTGTCAACTGTACAGACAGGGTTTGAATTTCCATTGATGTTCTGAATTGACAAAGTACAATGGGAATAACTCCAACCCTGCTAGTAGTATTTCCTGTTTGTAACCTTGAATAATCCCTTCTTTCGCTCTCCGTCAGGATGGCTCCCTGGAGCGGCTGAGCTCGGCAGAGTTTGTGTTTCTGTCCCAGGCGGTGGAAGGCTTTGTGAGGGACACGGAGGAGCTGTGCTGCAGACGCAGTGTGTCCCTAAGGGGGGCGCTACAGAGCCAGGCCAACCGCTTTGTCCACCGCTTCCACGAGGAGCGCAAGACCAAGCTCAGGTATTAGACTGGAGAAGCACACACAGACACACACACACACACACACACACATACTTCTTAATAAGGAATAGAGGTGCAATACTTCAGGAACTTGAAAACAGTCTATCCTAACTGTGTGTGTGTGTGGGTTCTCTCCAGTCTGCTGCTGGACAATGAGCGGTGGAAGCAGGCAGAGGTTCCTGCAGAATTCCAGGACCTGGTTAACTCCATAGCAGATGGCAGGATCACATTACCCGAACGCAAACCCCAAGGTAACATATACCATTTGAGCATAAAATGAACACCCGCCACCCGCCAAATGCGGGTAGATTTAGATATTGGCAGGTAAGAATGTCTATTCACCAGCCACGTTGGCGGGTGGTCAATTTGCAGGGCTCTACAGTGCGAGCATTACATTTACAAAAGTCAAGTATGAGCACAGTTAGGGTTAGGAAAAATGCTGCAGTAGCTGTTTTCAAAGTATTTCTGCTGTTCTGCTTTATAGTCCTCAAAGAATATTTGTCTGTCCCCAAACTGACTGAGTTTATTTTCTGTCTTCTCAACACCAGGCACAGAAGAAAGGAAACCAAGTGATTATTTGCACATTGATGGCCAGAAATATGCTGTTGTTGGGTGAGTTTTGATTACTACTATGATAAATGCTCATTTCCACTCCCACATTCAAAACGGAAGGCATGTAGCAGAAATGCTGATAAAAATACCCTTATTGACTCGTGACCTCTGTGTCCTCCTCATCAGGACGGTGTTACTACTGATCCGGATCTTCCTGGAGTACTGTCAGTGTGTCAACGACATCCCCTCCATCGCCACAGACATGCTCACCCGCCTCTCTGACCTACTCAAGGTAAGAACACACCGCACCACCCCCTGTGTGGCAACAGTCTCGAATGATGGTCTGAGAGTTGGCTAGATTCACCTGGCAAGCATCCCACTAAGAAACTGCAATCATGTTGTATTGAATGGTCCCTGACCCTCTGTCTCTCTCTCTCCTTTGACAGCACTTCAACTCGCGGAGCTGCCAGCTGGTCCTGGGGGCAGGAGCACTACAAGTGGTGGGACTCAAGACCATCACCACTAAAAACCTGGGTATGTTCCAGAGTATGTGAGCGGAGCGGGAGCGTGCCCAATTTGACTGGAGCGCGGCGTGAGATTCCTAAAGGCTGGAGCGTCGGCCTTCTCGCCGCTCCAGTAGCGCTCACTTCACGATCTCGGGGCATGCCCGGCCCAGCATGCATTTGTAGTCTACTTGTGTGCTGCTGTCTATAGCACCTTGCTTTAGATACTGTCATGGAGTTTGCTAAATATTTTCATAAAGAAACTGATAAAACACACAGGTGATAAATCAAGGTGACTTACAAAGATGAGGACCAAGAGCAAGAGGGGGAGTGTGGTGAGGTAGTGTCCACAACTAAAGAATCATTATGGAATCTGAAAAGATAAGTATCCTGAAAGCATGATGGTGCACTTACTACATGCACATGCCAAAAGAAACGAACGAGGTGGGTAGATAACTAAGTGTCATTGTAGCAAACTATTTCTAAACTAAAAATCTGATCTAATTTTTTTCCTATTATCTATACAATAGGCCATAATTGATTTTCTCCAAATAGGGCTGACATATTCCTATGTTCAAGAAGCTTTCTGTTTTGATTGGGTTATTTTGCCTAAAAACCTTTTTTTAGGCCTACCTATATAAAAATTAAAAAAACAACTCTGCATCTCTGCCCAGCCTGGCATCCCCAGTGGCTCTGCAATCATGGAGGATATTCTCTGCTACTGGCCGGCTCTCCAGGCACCATCGCATGAGCCTGAAGCCACAGAATGTCAAAACGTGTGCTTCTAAAAATAAATTCAAAGGCACTAATAATATAAATAATTCATTTTCGTTCCTTCTTAGGCTCCCAGTCTGACTCCTGACCCATTTAGTGTTTATATGATGTTTAATATAACATGTAGCCTATTTGAAATGATGAGCGCTTCTTAGATTCACCTTTTCATGTTTATTCAAATACTTTTCATTCAAATCATATGGTTTGGTTTCAATACTTCAAAACCAAATGGTAAAATAGATGGGTGTTGGTTAAATTGTGATTTTAATGAATGGAGCGAATTAGGAGCGGCAGTTTTATCTGTGAGCGGGAGCGGTTTTTAGTAGAGCGGTTGGAAAGGACTTGGAACGCCGGAGCGGTGCGCAAGCACTGCTCCATGAGCGTGATTTCCAACCGCTCAACTCCGCTCACATACTCTGGTATGTACTACTTGGGTGTGTCCAATAAGACAAGCGCAATTTCATTTTCCATTTTAAATTGTGCGCCCCTACTGAACACAACCCAGTGCTTTTGCTATAAACCGTAGGCTTTGCCCCACTACAGTGTTACCTCCAACCCAGAGGGGTGACCTCTACATTTTAGTATATCTCTGTGTTCTGTGTAGAAATAACCATAGCGTGTGTCTGTCCTCAGCCCTGGCCTCTCGCTGTCTTCAGCTGGTGGTTCACTACATTCCCGTCATCAGGGCCCACTTTGAGACCAAGCTGACGCCCAAGCAGTACAGTGTCCTCAGGCACTTTGACCACATCACTAAGGTGAGCACAGACCTGCATGCATGAGGATGGAACTTTAGTTCGGAGATTCACTTGTAAGCCATGAGTGACACGATGTGTATGCCTTTTGAATTTAAGATTTTTTCTTCTATTTTGTCCAGGACTACAACGATCACATAGCGGAGATCTCCGCTAAACTGGTGGCAATCATGGACAGCTTGTTTGAGAAGGTGCTATCTAAGGTGAGTTATACAGTTCCAAACCTCTCAAACTCTCCCTGTCTAACCTACAATACCACTTAAAAAATGTGCTGTAGCCAATGTCAATCAGTGCATCAACATATAATGTGAATATCTACTTTGTCTCCTGCAGTATGAAGTCAAGGCCCCCATGCCTTCGGCCTGCTTTCGGAATGTCTGTAAACAAATGGCCAAAATGCACGAAGCCCTCTACGAGCTGCTACCTGAGGAGCAGGCGCAGGTAATATGGCAATAATACCACAGAGATCCTATTAAATTACTGCTAATTATTCACATTTGTAATTCTGAATAATACCATGTACTAAGTAACTACTGTAAATAGTCACTTCTACCGCTATTCTCCTTGGCTGAATAAATTATGCGCTTTTACAACATACTGGGCACGTTCCAGGTTGTCTTCATTGCAGTCGCAACTACAGTGAAGATGATCTAGAACGTAGCCATTGACTAGATATGTTGGGTTTTGAGGGTAACTTTGTCTGTGTTTTTTCTCTGGGCCTAGATGTTGTTCCTGAGGATCAATGCAAGCTTTAAAATGCACCTTAAGAGGCAGCTGGCCCGACTCGGGGTGCACCACGATGGTGGACCTCAACATGGGTGGGTGTTTCTCAAGTCTTATTCTGTGGTGGTTGAGATAAAACAACATTTCTGTAATATTGCCCAAAAAATTGTCCTACAGTTATATTATCTCTGCTTGATGATTTTGATTGACCATACCAAAAAGAGTAAACATGTAAACTCAGCAAAAAAAGAAACGTCCCTTTTTCAGGACCCTGTCTTTCAAAGATAATTAGTTAAAATCCAAATAACTTCACAGATCTTCATTGTAAAGGGTTTAAACACTGTTTCCCATGCTTGTTCAATGAACCATAAACAATTAATGAACATGCACCTGTGGAACGGTCGTTAAGACACTAACAGCTTACAGACTGTAGGCAATTAAGGTCACAGTTATGAAAACTTAGGACACTAAAGAGGCCTTTCTACTGACTCTGAAAAACACCAAAAGAAAGATGCCCAGGGACCCTGCTCATCTGTGTGAACGTGCCTTAGGCATGCTGCAAGGAGGCATGAGGACTGCAGATGTGGCCAGGGCAATAAGTTGCAATGTCCGTACTGTGAGACGCCTAAGACAGCGCTACAGGGAGACAGGACGGACAGCTGATTGTTCTCGCAGTGGCAGACCACGTGTAACAACACCTGCACAGGATCGGTACATCTGAACATCACACCTGCGGGACAGGTACAGGATGGCAACAACAACTGCCCGAGTTACACCAGGAACGCACAATCCCTCCATCAGTGCTCAGACTGTCCGCAATAGGCTGAGAGAGGCTGGACTGAGGGCTTGTAGGCCTGTTGTAAGGCAGGTCCTCACCAGACATCACCGGCAACAACGTCGCCTATGGGCACAAACCCACTGTCGCTGGACCAGACAGGACTGGCAAAAAGTGCTCTTCACTGACGAGTCGCGGTTTTGTCTCACCAGGGGTGATGGTCGTATTCGCGTTTATCGTCGAAGGAATGAGCGTTACACCGAGGCCTGTACTCTGGAGTGGGATCGTGGTGGAGGGTCCGTCATGGTCTGGGGCGGTGTGTCACAGCATCATCGGACTGAGCTTGTTGTCATTGCAGGCAATCTCAACGCTGTGCGTTACAGGGAAGACATCCTCCTCCCTCATGTGGTACCCTTCCTGCAGGCTCATCCTGACATGACCCTCCAGCATGACAATGCCACCAGCCATACTGCTCGTTCTGTGCGTGATTTCCTGCAAGACAGGAATGTCAGTGTTCTGCCATGGCCAGCGAAGAGCCCGGATCTCAATCCCATTGAGCACGTCTGGGACCTGTTAGATCGGAGGGTGAGGGCTAGGGCCATTCCCCCCAGAAATGTCCAGGAACTTGCAGGTGCCTTGGTGGAAGAGTGGGGTAACATCTCACAGCAAGAACTGGCAAATCTGGTGCAGTCCATGAGGAGGAGATGCACTGCAGTACTTAATGCAGCTGGTGGCCACACCAGATACTGACTGTTACTGTTACTTTGATTTGACCCCCCCTTTGTTCAGGGACACATTATTCAATTTCTGTTAGTCACATGTCTGTTCAGTTTGTCTCAGTTGTTGAATCTTATGTTCATACAAATATTTACACATGTTAAGTTTGCTGAAAATAAAAGCAGTTGACAGTGAGAGGACGTTTCTTTTTTTGCTGAGTTATTTACGACAGATTTAAACCTACTCTTGAACTAAAATGCATGCTCAATGGAGAATCTCCAATGAAAGTGATTTCTGTCCAGAACCAAGCATAATGTGTCTGATAAAACAGCTCCTTGTCGCTAAAGGACAATGTACCTTACAATTTCAATGGACTTGTTGAATGATGATGACTTGAAAGCACTTCTGATCCCCCCACATAATGACTCCCCTTTCTCTCACCCCACTCCAGGCTGGTGGCGGTGGATGTGGCATTTTACACTGAGAACGTTCAGTCACTGAGGACACTTGAAAAGCTGGACTTGAACATGGCTGAGATCTGGGAGCAGAAGAGGTGATGATGGCGGTAGTAGTCGTCTTACCTACAGTGTGTGACGCCATGTTAACCCACCCTGGAGGGAGGGGAGAAACGAACTAATCAGATTCTTGTTGTAAAGAGACCTGTTGCTTCACCCTCCAGCAGCCGGCCTGCCCAGGGGACCATGGAGCTCACTGAAGCCCACCTGAAGAGGGCGCTGTCTGGGTACAGAAAGAGAGCGTAGGTCGTCTGGTAGTGTTGGTGGCCCCAGGCAGCAACGTTGTGGGACCAAACCCTGAAGCGACCTTTATGTAGGGCAGGCAACATAACATGGCACCCTATTCCCTATATAGTGTACTACTAGTGCGTTTATATAGGGAATAGGGTGCCATTTCGGCCATGACGTGTTTTTTTTTTATTAAAGAGGGGCTACGACCAGACTTTTAGGACGTAACTGCTGCCTGTCACCTCATCTCACTGTGTGCAATTCAACTATAGCTGATTTATTAAAAACAGATGAATAATTCATGATGGACCTTGATTGGACTGAGATGCTGACATGGTTCAGAACATGTCACTTACTGGAGAACCGATTTTTTTCAGACCTGTGTTTAAGCTAAATGGTAATGTAAAAAGGCATTTAAGTTGACCACAATCTTGACAACTGTGGTCTTGCATCAACTAAATATGACGTCTTCTCTAAATATGTTCTCTAAAGAGAACTTCAGATGTAGCATAATTTGCACTGAATACGTCTGCAAACAAATTCCTTCCAGCCCTCAATTGTTACAGCATTCCCTTCCATGGCCCTATATTAAACCTTTACTAAGCTATCTGTACAGTAAGAGTGAGCAATTTCTCTCAACACATAATGAAACTTTGAGCATTGATAGTCAATCTGGTTAGATAAATTGGTTGCATCTACTAATGACAGATATGCACAATTGTTCCCCTCTCCGTAATGACCGAGCTAAGTCATTCTATATAAAGCATTATCTTCCAACAAGGCTACATCAACAAATGGGCAGTAAACTCCACTGCATTTGATGCAATATCAGTCGTGACAGTCCTATCCATCACCTGTCATATTGCTTGTACGCATGAACGAACATTAGCCTCTGATTGGTGTCTTTTTAAAGTAGTCGAGCTCCAACCAAAATAGTCTTATTACCCAGTTCTATTAACTGTCTGTCTGCACTGTGTGAACATAACACCTTATGCAAGAGGATCCAATGGTATTACAAAACACCATCCAGTAAAAACAGTGGTCTACTTCAAAAGTGCCTACTTTTGATAAATATCAAAGACTGACTTCTTTACAATAGTATACTGTTTGAGTGCCTGTGTATGTATGTTGGGCCCTCATTGCTGCTCTGGTTAAGATGGATAAAGAAGTGTGTGGCAAACAGAATCTGACCTCATGCTTGAGTTTTTGTCTTGAATCCCAGGAAACTGAATAAAACATGGGATAATATGGAAGCATTTCTACTTTGGCCTTATTTTTTTTTCTGTCCATCTGCTGGCCTTGTAGGTGAGGAAGCCACTAGACTATTGATGCACCCAGACAAGGAATCGTCCTGACCGTATGCATCCAGACGAGAAACACTATCAGGGCTCTCCAACCCAGTTCCTGAAAAGCTAAAAAGTTCCTGTAGGGTTTTCGCTCCAACCCCAGTTGTAACTAACCTGATAATTATTAGAATCAGGTGCGCTAGATTAGGGTTGGCGCGAAAACCTCCAGGAACAGCGTTGGAGAGCCCTGCGCTAGACTATTGACCTACCTTTGAGTTATGAGATGCGCTCTTCAGAGGCAGCACCTTTATATGATTGATTTGCTACTTTAAACGATTCTACTTTTAAAATCAAGACAGAAGGCTAACAAGTTCAATCCATATTGTACTTTTATTCATGTTAGAGTTGGCTCAGAATTTGCAACAGAGGCTGTGTTCACACAGGCTGCCCAATTCTGATCGTTTTCCACTAATATGCCTTTTCACCAATCAGATCAGCTCTTTTGCCAATAATTGGAAAAAATATCAGAATTGGGCTGCCTGTGTAAACGCAGCCTTAGAACCCTGTAACAGCTTTCGCTCCCAACAGAAGTCTCGTGTTTGCATGGTGTGCTGAACCACAACGCTCATTAGGAGGACCATCCCACCACATTTTAAGCTGATTAAAATGACTGTGGTAAAGTCTTTCTTTTTAAGCTGCAGATAATTTATCTGAAATGGTGGATCACAGTGATAAAAACCTTAATGTGGAACGGCACCCTGTCTGTCTTTCTCGCTCTGCAACAGTCCTAGTTATAGTTTTTCCTTGGCCTTGAGTCTCTTGTCTGTGCGACTGGCTTGTGTCCTGAAGGCCTCAGTGGTCGAGGATGCGCAGGTTGCCAGATACAATCTTGTTTTCCAGCACCGCTCCGGCAGGAATATCGATCCTATCTCCGTGATTGGCAATAATAATGACAGTTCCCTGTGGAATGGATAGTGAGGAGGGGATGTAGACAAATGTAATGCACAAAATACAACAAAACATCGACAGAGAGATGTCCAGCAAAACTAGCCCAACATCAATGTTCTGTATGCCAAGTAGATACTATGCAATAGTAATGAGGTACCATTTTGGGTATGAAGCCTTTACCTTGAGAGAGACGTTCTTTCCGAAGGTGACGTCTCCTGACACTGTGAGGTGATCCAGTTCTAGCATGTCTGGGATGCTCTCAAACCTCGTCAGGAAGTCATGGACCTGCAACCATAACACGTCATTTATACACTCAACAACCTATACTAACAATTCAAACCATAAAATATGAATGACTACCTCCTTCAATAAAAAAAGACCCACACAAATGTATATAAAATCAAAATGTCTGTCATAATGACTCAACAAATTGCATTGAAATCGTCATTTTGGTTCCATTACCTTAGTGAAAGAGCTGCCCAGCTTGACGTGTGGCGTGGAGGGGAACTCCCTCTTCTTGCTCATGGTGAGCGAGCCGGCGTCCAGGCTGTAGAGGTTGGACATGACCAGCAGCAGGTCCGACGAGGTCTTGACGGGCAGGAAGCGGCTACGGGGTACGTTGACGCCCAGGGCGTTGTCGAAGGCCTTGATGGCGGCGCCCACCGCTGTTTCCAGCTGGATCACGTTCAGACCACCGTCCAGCGTCTGGGGAGGATGTAGTTGGCGCTAACGTTCAGTGAGCTTGTGGCGGCTATTACAAAGTTATGCAAATCAAATCGTAGTTGAGTCACTCCAGGCCATGGGTGACAGCCGTCCGAAAACTATTCATTAATGTAAGAGGGGATGGTAAAAATAAATACCAAAGGAAACCCTAAAACACATGGCTATGAACTAAACCCACTGAGCCACAGATACCAGACTTGGCAGACAGTTGTCATTTTAAGACTCGCCTTCACCCCGTCCTCTCACCTTGGGGTTGACAATGATCTCCATGTCCATGGCGTTCTGCTCGTGCAGCCTCTTAATGGCGGCCAGGGAGATCCACAGGTTGTTGGTGTTGAAGATCTTGAACTTGGTGACCGACTTGAACTCGTCCACGTGGGCTTTGGGCACCTGGGCAATCTCCAGCAGACGCAGCTTGTCGTCGTACTGGATCAGCGTGCCACCCTGTGGAGGGATTGAGAGGCGTGGCAGAACCATGAGCAGTCAGGAAATGGAAAGGTGGCTAAATGGAAGGCTGTATGCTATTTTACATTGAGGTATAAAACATATCAAAATGTATCATACAATTGTAGGGAATTCACTTTAATCCTCTACCATTTTCACTTCATCACTTTTTAATTTTCTTACATCTTCAGCCTCAAAGTACTGCCGAGGTGAGTGGACTCGTTAACAATTGAATTAACCACCAGGGTGAAAAGAAAACCAGCAGTACTCTGGACTTGAGTACCCTTGCCTGTGTCTAGCTAGCACACAAACCTCTGCTCACCTTGACGTCTGCACGGGTCTTGTCCGTGACCTCCATGATGAACTCGCAGCGCTTGTCTTTGGGCTGCGTCATCAGATGGTTGAGGATGAACAGGTCCACGGTGGCGCCCAGGTTGTCTATGTTGGACACGAAGATGTACTCCTTGCCCTCAGCGATCAGCTGGTCCAGCAGGCCGGAGTTGTAGAAGCTGGCGTAGATGTCTCCGTGACCGGGCGGGTACCAGGCGTCGCCGTGGTCGCCATGCATCCCCAGGTCCTTGGCCACGGGCAACAGGGACTCCTTGTTGATCCTCGGGTATCTAGAGGGGCAGGAGGAGAGTTTTAATAATGTTATTTACCTTTATCTATACAGGTAAGTCAATGAGAACTGATTCTTATTTACAATGACAACCTGTTAGGTGAGGTAGAGGCGAGAAGAGAGGGAAATGGAGAGTGGAGGAGAGATGGATGGGGTGTAATAAGAGGGAGAGGGTGTTCAGGAAAGCGTTAAGGAGGATCGTAATAGAACAGGATCATGTCCAGTACAGAGAAAATGCTTTGAAACAGGAATGTACCTGAACTTGTCCAATAGCAACACTCATTAGGATTTTACATTGCAAAACACTTAAAACACTGTTCCCTGCTGAACATGACCCAGGTGTATATTTCTATAGGTGCGGACGTCTGTGTGCGTGTGTTACCTGCTCTGGTTGAAAGTGTGGATGTTCACCCGGTGGTGTGTGTACTTCTGCAAGATCTTCTTGGTGTCCTCGTCTGTATTGAAGGAGTTCATGAGAACCAGAGGCACGTCCACGTTGAACGTCTTGTTTAAGTGCTGAGAGAGGAGAGGGAGCGAGAGAGGGAGGCATTTTTATGACTGGAGTTTGGCTCCCAAATAGTTTTATCATACTGTAATTTTGTCATAAATTATGTTGAATGTAGAAATTGCAAAAAAAGGAATATCTAGTACTACAATAACTAGCCCTAGTTAACGTTCTGTCTCATATTGAATATGTTGATATTTTTTTAAGTGTTATGTTCTCTCAGACCAAAAATTGTATAGTACAGTACAGTATAGCACAGTATCCTATCCTCTACCTCGATCTGATGGACGGTGAGGTCCAGGAAGGTGTTCTCATTGCGGACACTGATGACGCTCTTGGGGCCCTTGCAGCCCATGCTGGTGCCCAGACCTCCGTTGAGCTTGACCACCACCAGCTTGTTGAGGCTGGCCGCCACGCTGTCCGGCAGCCCCTGGGCCTTGATCTTGTCATAGGGGTGGATCTGCAACAGGGAGGGCAAGAGGTACAG